GTATACGTTTTTCTTTTTTTATAATTTGTTTTAGGAGCCGGCTGTTTAACGTTTTTTTTAATTATTCGTTTGATATTCAATTTGGTCTTATCAATAATAAAGAGAATATCTATCGACGTGGGTTGTAGTCATATAGTTCGGTTGACAACTACGTTTTTGCAACAATTCTCACATTTCATTGTTGCAAAAACGAACAAGCCATGGAAAGCACGTCGTAGCTAGTCACAATCGTGATTATGTGCGCACTACCGGTTACCCAGGTAACCGACCCAATATTCTGTGGTTTCAGTGCTTCAACCATGACTCGGATCAGCATGAATTCATGATTGTAAATCCTACCATTACTATATAGAGGTTCTCCATCGTAACATGTTCAATTCAAAATTCTCAACCTTCTGATCAGTGATTGTAGGAATGATAGTTTTGTCATTTTAATTATTAAAAATAAAAAGATATTTTGTTGATAGAGAGAAAAAACAACGGACAAAAAAGAGTCCGCCACCACCCCTAAATCATAATAATCCACTAACAAAATTATAAAAAGGAACTCTGCTGGGATTAGGGGTTTTTTTTAATGGTAAGGTACCTGAATTTTATTAAGAAATTAAAGCCTCCTTAGCAATGTTGTCAGAACCGAACCGGAGTATGACCCGGAAACGTGAACGACTCGGTCTTTAGTGGTCCAGCCGGCATTAGACCGTTTAAAAACCGTTTGAGAACCGGTACCTAATAAACAATTATCTCTCATCTGTATAAATAGTGGACACTTCTTAATCACGGTAAATCACAAGATTACATCATATTCAATTATTCAGTGTGGTAGGGAATAATCAGTCCATTATTCAGTGTGGCAGGGTAATCGATCGGAAAATGCAGGCAGACCTCACCGGGGGTAATCGATCGGAGTAGTAATGGTAATGGAGAACGGGGAAGGGAAGGGAGACCTCACTGGGGCACTCGCCGGCAGGGGCTCGCCCAAATCGGAGGGAAATGGCGACGGGGAACGGCGTTGGGGAAGATGGCGATGGCGACGGGTCTGGGGAAGTGGGCGACGGCGTTGGGGAAGCTGAAGTGCAGTCCAGATGCGACAGCGACGACGCTGGGGAAGATGGCGACGACGCTTCCTTATCTCCAGACTCTCCACGAAAAAGAAGATGGCGAATGAAAATTGGGAATTAGGGTTCTGCCCGACCCCGAGTCCCGACCCACCTTCCCCTTTAATTTTCGGTTTTTGGTTTTTATTTTTTATTTTTTTAATTACACCAACCGGCCGAATGTAAAAAACTGGACGACCGGTTCGAGCGGTTAACCGCTTCGGCCGCTCGCCGGCCGCCCCAGAGAAACAGTCCGGCTAAATAGCTAATCCGAGCCGGTTTTGTGCCCGGTTGGCGATTTTGGCGGCTCGGCTCGGCTTTCTCAACACTGCTCCTTAGCCAACAAGCTTTGGAGAAAATAAGGTGGTTCTGAAACCCATTCTTCCTGGGCTTCCCAATCACACAAAAAGTGGGCCATTTCATTTCCCTTTCGTTTAGTGAAGCTCCATCTGATCGACTCAAACCGCTGAGCTTCCTCTTGAATCTCTTTCACCACCTGACCCGCTTCCAATCTCGATCTGTCCTCCTTCTGTAGAGCAAAAGCAGTTGTCTGACAATCCATTTTTACCACCGCCTGGCGATGACCGCTCATCTCCAGCTACTGTAGACCAAATTCCACCGCCTTCAGCTCCGCTATCTCTGGTGGCCAGGGATTTCTTATTCGTCGAACCGCAGCGCGTAAAAAGGCTCGATTCGCATCCCTCAGGACCATCCCCAGCCCCGTCCCTTCATTCATCATTGTCGCGTCAACATTCACTTTCACCCATCCTTGTGGAGGCGCTTTCCAGGTAACTTCTTCTACTTCTCCAATCTGTTGCTCTTTAGTATAATAGGACTGAAATACCTCCCAATAGTCTAGAGCCTTCCCAACCACTTCCCATTCCTCCGCCTTTTTCCGATTGAACATCTGGCTGTTTCGTTCATTCTACATCATCCAGAGAATGAGCCCAAATTGTTCTAGGGTTGCATCATCCACCCTCTCCATTACCTCACACATCCAGCTACCTGGCGAAAGATTTGGTTCCATCTCGAACAGGGGTCGAAAATTCGACAGCTTCCACACACGAATCGCCCACTGGCACTCCCGAAAAATATGATTTTGAGTTTCTTCTAGATGGCAAATAGGGCATTCCGTGGCTGCTTCTTCTTTTCTAATTTCAATGTTCTTCCCTGTAGGTAATATATTATGCACTAGCTTCCATAGAAATATTTTTACCTTTGTTGGGATTGTGAGTCTCCACAGTCGTTTCCAGTTCATGGGATCATACGATTCCACCCCTTGCCCTATCTCCTCTGGCCCTCCCTCCTCATTCTGCTGGTCTACATCCGCAGTGTTGTTCTTGGTTCGATAAGCTAGTATGTAAGTCGTTTTAACCGAGTAAACACCTGTTCTTTCGTGGCACCAAACTCTCTCGTCCATAACAGGCAGACGTGGGATAGGAATTCCAGTAGTTCATCCCCTATCAATCGGGTTGAAATAGAACTGCAGGATATTGCTTCGCCATATCCTGTTTTCATGATCAATAAGATCAGAGACCATTCTCACCTCCTCGGACTCCGCTTCAGGTGATAATACCTGAGAACCATGCTCTTCTGACTCTGGTAACCAGTTTTCTCCCCATATCTTCATATTAGAGCCATTTCCTATCCTCCATCTTAATCCACTCTTTACCAAATCTTGGGCAGCCATGATACTTCACCAAGTATAGCTCGGGTTGGGGCCAATTCTTGCCTGTAGAATGTCAGTATTTGGGTAGTATTTGGCTTTCAGAATGCGTGCCACTAGGGATTCTGGATTGACAAGTAGATTCCAGATTTGTTTCCCCAATAATGAGACATTGAAAGCCTGTAGGTCACGAAACCCAATCCCACCCTCTTCCTTAGGCTTACACACCTCCTTCCATGCCTTCCAAGGGATCCAACGTTCTTCCTTCTGCTGGCCCCACCAAAAACTTGAGATTGCTCTCCTGATTTCATTTAGGACACCTTGCGGAATCAGAAAGACTGACGTCATATATGTAGTCTGAGATTGCGCTACAGCCTTGATCAAAACATCTTTTGAAGCTATTGATAGAGTAAGTCCTTTCCAGTGTTTGATTTTTTTACGCACCCTATTGACAAGGACATCGAAGACAGGCCTTCTTTTCCCTTCCATTTTACAGTGGGTAGACCCAAATACTTAGTGTAATATTCCACCTGTTTCATCTCCAATATGGCGGCCAAGCCATTTTTTGTATCTGAATTCACACTCGGGCTGAATATTAGTTCCGACTTTTGTATGTTTACCATTTGTCCTGATTCAGCCTCATAGCACTTAAGAATTTCTCTTGCTAGCAGCATTCCTGAGGTGTAGCTCTTAAGAAGAAAATGCTATCATCCGCAAAAAGCAAATATGACACAGAGGGGCCACGAACTGATAGCAAGGCAACCATCCAGCTAACATGATACAATGACTCAGATTGGGCCACTTGTCCTGACTCTAGGAGATCTCTAACAGGTTTCTGCGTCTTTCTGGGAACTAGTTTGATAAGTTGGAAGGCCAAGAAACAAAGTACAGTATCTAGATCATCCTCAGAAGCTGAATACAGGGCATTGGCGCTCCTAAGATGTGAAATGCAATGGTTGGTAAGGTTTCTTTTAGATTTTGGGATTGATCATTCACATTCAGCCATTGTTTTCTATGACAGTCAGTCTGCTATACACATTGCACCGAATCCAGTGTTCCATGAACGAACCAAACATAAAGAGGTTGATTGTCACGTGATCAGGGAGCGTTTACAAAGTGGTTTGATTGCTTTACATCACGTTTTCGGTACTCATCAGTTGGTAGATGTTTTTACCAATAGCTTAGGCATTGACATATTCAACTTTCTCATGAGCAAGCCGGGAGTATCGCAAGCTTGTGGGGGCGTAATGTAGAACATGATCAAACCAGATGGAGCAGCATCAGCTTGCACAATCAATGACCTGAAGAACAAGAAGATGCTGCTGTGAACGAAGGAAGTCGACAAAGCACATCATTGATGTGAGTATGAGAATGAAACGGTGGCGTTCTCTCTTCAGCTAAAGGTGAGTTCAGAACGTCACTGTTTCCCTTGATCTGTTCGCTAGGAAGAAAGGAACGTCGACGTTTAGCCATTGAAGACTTCAAACAATGTAATTAGTTGATCAACGACGCGTGGCTAACTAAGACTAGATAGTTTAATTAGTTTGTTAAACTTTACTGTTTATTAGCCGTTGTTTAGTTAGCCTAATGTTGCTCTGCACATATATAAATGAGAAAGCCAGAAAAGAAGAACTCAATACTTTTGAGCTCTCTTCACCAAAACCCTAGCAGATCTATTTTCTTCTTAGCCGATGGAAGTTCCACAACCAGGAAGATGACAATGATTATTCCTTTTGTTGGTTCACTTCTTCTTCCAACGATTTCTTTCCTTTTTCCAATTTCATAGAGATAAGGAGGTGCACTAGTAGATTGACGGTAGTCATTCGGCTTGGAGAATTCCATGGATGATTAAAGGAGAAAGAAAATAATCCACAGTAAATCACTCACAAAAACGTAAGCTACCATTTTATTTTATTAATTGAGGCCACGTGGCACAATTTCATTGGCCGGGAGCACCACATCAGCATTCCAACGCGGTGCTCCCGGAGCACCTAAAAATTCTCGAAAAGTAAACAGTCTGGACTGGTTAAGGTTTTGTTGCTTTATCTGGAAAGAAAGATTAGAGTATTTCCAGAGACTTCAGCTTTTCTCCTTCTTATTTGTATTACATATATGGTCACATATATGTAATTAGTTATTACATTGCTTATTACTACGACTTATAATCTAAATCAATTTTCCCCTCTCAACATTTATAAGCACAAAAGCATTGTCGAGGAACACCAGGAGCAGTGCCGAGGTCACACAATCCTTGTCCACCGTAACGACTCTTGCATTCGTTGAAACATTGATCCCCGCCGCGACTGCAGTCCCATACTTTTGAGCAATCTTTAGCTTCCACCGTCGTCTTTGCTCCACCTTTTTCATAGGTATGCATACAAAATTAATTAATTGTACATGAAGAAAGAAAGAAATCAGTATATGGATTCACATAACTAATCCACAACAAAATTATGAAATTAATTGGAGTGCGTAGGAAAGAGAGGAACAAAAACAAAATATCACAATGAACTTCACGTGATAATTTTCAAGAAGATTTTACCTAAGGAGGCGAAGAACAGAAGGGCTAGCAAGAAGTATATTGTGGAAGACTTAACCATGTTTCTCTTGAAATCAATAGAAAAAGAAGAAGTAATCTTATATTTTCAGGTTGTCTTTTCAAAGGTTTGATTGTCTTGGTATTTGGATTCACTATTTATAAGAAGAATTTGTTTGATGATAAAATGCCTCAATGAAAATATTAGCATGTAAGGAGAAATAACTTGCCCTTTCAATTTTTTTAATAGATAAAAAAAACTTAAACGGCCAATGCATATCTATCCTTAAATGAAATCACATCTTAGTTGTGGTTGGTAAGGAAACATAGATAGAAATGTACAATACATATCTATCTGGATATATGTGCAATTTTATATCGAAATGCAAACGGAAATGAATATACACCCGGATTGGGAATTTGTGGATGGTTATCGGGCATGTAGGATACAAGTTTGAAAAAAACCTTAAAGTCCTTACACCATGAGGAAAAACCAAAGCAAAACTAAATCTTAGATTTCTTAATATATTTCTTAAAACATACAAACTAGTCTGTTAATATTATGAGAAATCGGGGTTAATTTGGTTGGGTATGTTTCTTGCAATCCAGAACAATATAAAAACAAACATTTTAGGAAACTGCTGGTAATTTACTAATTTACCTTATGAATTGTGACATGACAAAGTAACCCAGTAATTGGTTAGTTGAGCTGAGTAATAATTCAAAATTCCTTGTATTCCTATCCTAGGGAGAAACTCGATTGCTATATATTTCCTTTTGGTAGGGCGCTCAAGACTAAGGGTGTGTTTGGATAGAATGATTTGAATTTGACATTTTTTATTTGGATTTCTAAATGTCAAATCATGTGTTTGGATATTAATTATAGTTGGTATTTGGATTTGTGCCAAATTTATGGGGTGATTTCCAAATACATGTCTAGTGTATTACTTGTCAACTTCAAATACATTTCAACAACTAGTGATTAGAAATATCTCATAACAAAAAATTGGACCTATTTGTAAAATATTAAAAGAGCATGAGAAGTATTCGTAGTACTTCTCCATGGTATAACCCTAATCCAATATGGTAAAGGAAAAGCGGTTGCATGCAATCAGCACTACAACATAAATTGCCTTTTGTGACGAAACTAAATGGTCGTTAAATTTCAATATTTGGTCGTAAAAAAAATGTTGTGACCAAAAAAATTTGGTTGAACCCTTGGTCACATTCGCCTCGTTAGGAAAACAACCAATTTCTAATGAATATTTTGATTTGGTCAAAATACATGATCATTTTGTAACGAAATGCCAAATTGGTCACAAAATAAATATGTTTGCAACCAAAGTAATTACCTGTCATTCTAAACATAGCTGCCCAACGAGCATCGTGTGGTGACTGGTGAGTGGAGACTGAATCGTTGATATCAGAGGTGCCTATCTACTTGATGTCCAGAACTGAATGGTTCACTATTTATTCATTAGGTAATTAAAAGGCGATAAATTAAGAACAAATGCTAAGAGTAACGACGAAGCAATTAAAAGATGAGAAACGCACCCAGTGGCGTAGCCAGAATTTCATTTAAGGAGGTGCATTAAAAAGGATAACATAAAATATTTTTTGACAATAATCCATTATGAAGTTTCATGTTTTATATTACCAAATTAATTTAAAACTAAATAATAATTCAAATTATTAAGATTGCTTTTAATGTTATTTCACCATATCATCATTCACAAATTTGTTTCATTCTATTAGAATGTTCGATTATTCCATTGCTGAAATATTCTACTAACATGTGAATTGATAATTGGTAGTAGCAAACTAAACCTAATTTCATAAGCAAATACATTGATATGAACCAATTTTCTCTTATGACTATCATTGTCATACAAAGTTATTGATTTTTTCTAATAATCTGCACGTCATTCTCATCTTAATAAACTGTATTAATGTATATATTAGTAGGTTAAATTGATTTATATAATCGATCATGGTTGGCTACTAAAAATTTGTGAATTAACAATAAGATTTTAGGTTCATTATTCATTATTGATATATTAGTACTACTATTTTTTGTGGTTCTCCAAATCAAGAGTGTGCCATTGCACCCTCTAATAAGGGGCTAGCTCATTATAAAAAAAAGGGGCTAGCTCCAGTGATCCTAAACATATTGGATCCAGACCTTAAGCCTCAATGCTTAATGAGGTTCTTAAACTATTTTTATTGGCTGATACTAGATTAGGTAGTTAATGATGGTTAGTTAATATTTAATTTGAATAAATAAGATAATATAAAAATATAATTTATATTACTCATTAATGATTCTCTCTCTCCCTTGATCTTCTCCATAACCCTCTCTCTCCACTACAATGAAAAGAAAATTCGAAATTAATTTAATATATTATTATTTAATATTTAATAAATTCAAACTTAATACTTTCATCATTTTCAAAATTAAAATTTAAAATTAAATATATGCTCTCTCTCTTCGTGGCAACTTGCAATGCATTATTAACATTTTGCAATGACATTATCAGCATTTATGAAATGAATCGTTATTATTATACCTCGTCACTATTAACGATTTCAATATACTTATCAATTCCCATTATTAACAATTTTGGATCAATTGTTACCGTTTTATGGTTTCGTCATCAACGCCTATGAATGAATCATTAAAATTATGTAACATGGTCATTAACAATTTGAATAACAATATCATTAATTTACAACATCTTTAGTACTAATGATTCACATTTTCACATCATGTTTATAACTATCTAGTCATGGCCTCTTTCAATGATTTCTAATGACATTATTAACGTTTTAGCTCAAGCAAACCAACATTCACGCCTCAACACGAAACTTTTAATAACAATACAATAAATCATTGATAATGAAAAGTATTTCATTGAAAATAAACACAAAACATAAATATAATAATGTCCGACTTCAATATTATAAAATGACATCAAGCTTTTAATAAAGATATTAAAAACCATTAATAACAAATGAGCAAGTAACTGATAAGGAAATAGATTTTTGTAATAAAATAATATTAATTATTCAAATTAATTGTTTAATATCAAATAGCACTAAAAACACATTAATAACTAACATGTGTTTAATGGATAATGCAACCAAAAACTTTGATAAAGATAGCAACTAATAATTGTTAAGTACCTTGCTAGATATTATTAATATCTTATTTTTTCAAACATTGATAATGCTTATACACACCCATTAATAATGACACCAACTACGTTACTAACTTAGCCTGAAAGGTTAATAACCATAGTTATATCATTAAACACAAATCACTTTTGCTAATGTCATAAACAAACGAATACCTAACAAGTATGCTTCTTGATAATGACATTTGACAAAGTTACAAACATAAACGGAAAAATTTAATAATACAAATCAATTAAATAAATTGTTGCTAATGGTTGTATTGTGCTTGAAAAAAACATTGATAATAGCACTTCAAATGATTATAAATCATTGCGAACCAAATTGATAATACGATGTAATAGTAAATGAACTTCAAGTACCAACAAATTGAAAACACAATTTCACTTTTGCTAATGTTACAAACAAAACATAAAAAGTTAATAATGTCACATAACATTATTAAAAAACCTGTCGAACAACATTAATAATAACACAAACGAATACCTGAAAACGAAAAATCCTAAACCCATGCAACGAAAAGCTCTAATGATGACTCAAATTATAAATATTGATAATGTCATTACAAAATGTTGATACCAAATTGCAAGTTGCCAAGATGTGAGAGAGGCCATATATTTAAAATTTTAAATTTCCATTTTAGAAAAGGAAAATTATTAAATTCGGATTTCATTAAATATTAAATAAAATTAATTTTTTATTATAATATAGAGAGAGGATTATGGAGAAAATCATGGGAGAGAGAAAGAAAATTATTAATTAATAATATTAATTATATTTGCATAATCATATTTTTTTTTATAATGGCGATGATAACTTTATTAAAAAGAAAAGGGTAAAGACAAACAAGTCAAAGTACAAAAGCAAAAGCAAAAAGTAACTCAGGGGCAGTGGCAGGGATCACAAGATCTGATCCCACATCCTAAACAAGAAGCAACAAAACAAAAGGAGATGGTGTTAGCCGGGCCAAACTGACCCTACACCCACCTCTCAATGAAGAAACACAAAAGAGCCAGGAAGAACGGGAAGGCAAGCCATCCGAATCACTACAAAGCAACAACCGTCCTATCAACCTCATCCTGCAGCTCATTGTCCTGTACAACGCGACTGTCAAACGATATCGGCAGAGGCCAAGCACTATAAATCATGGAAGTCCACTCCAAGCGCTGCTGCTCGCTTAACACTCCAGCTGCAGAAATCCAGTTGAGCAGTTATCTGCAAATTTTATGGAAGACAGCCATTGGGTTCTTTGTCTTGTCTTCGAAGATTCGGGCGTTTCTTTCTTTCCAAACTTCCCAAGTAAAGGCGTGAAGAAGTCCCATCACAAACCAACACCTCCAGGTCTTCTCATTACCCGCAGGCCAGCCTCTAATGATCAAAGTAAAATCTGCAGGGAAAGGACCTACAATCTGCAACATGTGTTGAAGACGTGCCCAAATGCTCCTGCTAACCGGACAATGACAGAAGATATGATTAATGGATTCTTCCTCCGTTTCACATAGCGTGCACCTGTTTGCCATAATCCAGCCTTTCCTTTTGAGATTGTCCTGAGTCAGGATACGTTTATGCATCACCAGCCACAGAAAGGCCTTCACTTTCATGGGGATTTCCTGTCTCCAAATTACATCAGCGGGAAAGTCATCTTGGCCATTGAATCTTGATTTGATGAGAGCATTATACATGGACTTCACAGAGAAACCCTTCTTCAAACAGGGACTCCAAATAAGCTTCGCGTGACCTGTAGAAATAAGATCAGAGGGTAAAGTGGATAAAAAATGGAAGAGATCAGCCTTTCACACTCAGCCCCACCCCTCAAATTAATTGATAAATGCAAATCCCACCCCACACTCCCATTTTGAAAGGATATTATATTGGACACCCAAGCCTCAGGATTTGAAGAGGCAGCCGCAACTCTTGGGAAGGCCTCTTTAAGGATCACACCCGGCCACCAACAATCATTCCAAAAGGACACCCAAGCACCACCACCCGGGGAAATACAAGCAAACTTCCAGAATTGTGGTTCCTCCTTCATAATTCTCTTCCAAATCGAGCACCCAACCGGACCTCCATCAGTTCCCGCCTTCCAGACAGAGGTGGAGTTAGGAAACTTGGAATCAATAAGCTGCCTCCACCATGCTTCTGGTTCCGAAGCATACTTCCAGAACCATTTAGAAAGAAGAGCCATATTCATACAATTGAGATCCAAAATTCCCAGACCACCCATGTCCCTTGTGTTTTTGCAGGTGTCCCATTTGACTAAATGAAACTTGTTTTTATACTGGACTCGTGACCAGATGAAATTCCTCATCATACTCTCCATTTTGTGAATTATATTCTTGGGAGCCCTTAGCAAGGAGAACATAAACAAAGGCTGACTTGCAAGGCTGCTCTTGCACAATATGATTCGTCCTCCAAGAGAAAGGAAGTTACCTCTCCAATTTTCCAATCTCGACTGAAATCTGCTCAGGACACGGTTTCAAATTGAGGAAGAATTCGGGCTAGCACCCAGGGGCAGCCCAAGATACACTGTGGGAAGATAGCTCCAGCCACAACCAAAAATGTTAGCATATAAGGCAGGATTTTGAACGTTTCCGACTGGATACATAGTGCTTTTCTCAACATTGATTCTCAAACCTGTGACAGCTTGGAAACAGACTAAGGTAGATAGGAGATTCAACACCTGGTCTTCGTTGGCATCACAGAAAATGATAGTGTCGTCTGCATAGAGCAAGTGAGTCACTTCACCTCTCGAGTCCAGTTCATTAGCAAAAAAATCCAGCAAACAACCCAGCCCTTCTTAGTGATTCAAGCATAACCGAGAGGACATCCATCACTAACAAAAAGAGGTATGGGGACATAGGGTCACCCTGCCTCAGCCCTTTCTCAGTTTTGAAAAACCCAGCAGCTTCACCATTAACCAGAACCGAAAGATAGGGAGCCGTGACTAGCCCCTGAATCCAAACTTTGGCTTTATGAGGGAAGTGCATGCTTTCCAAAATATTGAAGAGGCAACTCCAGTTGACGTTGTCGAAGGCCTTTTCGATATCCAGTTTGAAAACCAGCCCCGGTTTACCACTCTTCTTCCTGCTGTCGATCAACTCATTCGCAATAAGAGATGCTTCATGAATTTTTTTTCCTTTAATGCAGCCAAACTGGTTCCCCGAAGCTTAATTGTTTTCCTTTAAGCCCCGGGTAATGCAGCCAAACTGCCGCGAATTTAGACATCGAGTCCCCCACCCTCGTCCAGCATTTTTGATAAAAGAGAGGGTGGTAGCCATCATTACCCAGGGATTTGAAACCCCCCATTCCCTTGATCGCACACCAAACCTCCTCCCACAAAAGGTCCCGAACCAGCATACATTTCACACTGTCCTCAAGATGGCGGAAGGCACTCGACAACCACGGTGCAACCCCCTCCTCCGCCTGGAATAACTCCTGGTATTACTCTCGTGCCATTACTTTCAGTAGGTCTTCATCGTCAACCCAAACACCCTCTGCATTACGGAGAGAAGCAATTTTATTAAACCGACGTCGTTTGAAGGTTGATAGATGAAAGTATCGCGTGTTGCGATCGCCTTGGGTAATCCACATAGACCGCGATTTCTGGAACCACAAAAGTTGCTCTTGCCATAGAGTATTTTTTAGCTCTTGATGAACAACATCCTCCCTTGCGCGAGAGGCCTCAGAGGCCGCGTGTTCGTTGCGCTCCTCTAGGCATTTGAGTTGCCGCACTAATTCCTTTTTCCGGCGGATAATGTTACCAAAGGTCTCCTTGTTCCGCACCTTTAGAGCTTCCGTGAGAGATTCAATGGAGTTGGAAAGCAGGGCGCGAGTTTTCCAGGCATCCGCAAGAACCCTGTCCAAATCTCATGGTTGAGCCAAGCCGCAAGGAACCGAAAGGGACGATGCTTTCGACGTCGTTGGTCATTTGAATGGCTACAGATGCGGATGGGTCTGTGGTCGGACCCAATCCTCTCCAGATGATGGTTAATCGAATCCGGATACTTGAGCATCCATTGGTGGTTACAAATTGCTCATTTCAGGGTAAGAAGGGGTAGAGAAAATTCCTCGAGCCAATGTTCGAGTACCAGGCGCTACGGCGCTGAAGTAACCCATGCCATACTCCCTCCTCTCCTCCAAGTAAACCGCGGTCCAGTGAAACCCACCACCGTTCAAGCAATCACGAAAGGGTCTAACTCGAGCCTCTTGGTATGGGACCCCTCCCATGCGGTCATTAGGTCCCAGGATCGAGTTGAAATCCCCTACCAGAATCCATGGCTCCTGAATGATAGAGGAGAGCTCAATGATGTGGTCCCAAAGAACCTGACGCCTGGCAAAATTGGGGCTACCATAGACCGCTAAGACAACCACACTGCTCCCCCGACTTCCACGTCTCCTGCAGGAGAAGAGGATCTCTAGCTCAGTGATCTCCAGATCCTGATCATTCCACAGAACCCAGATCCCACATGCAAAGCCAATAGCATCCACAAACAGTTTACCATCAAATCACGTGTTAGAAATAACCCGGTGAGCCTTGACCCCACTAATTTGAGGCTCAACAATGATTACAATATCCGGCCTAGATGGCTCGAAAAAAGACTTAAGGAAGGTAACAAATTTCTCATGACCTACCGCCTGGCAGTTCCAAGCAAGGTTGTCAAACATAGAAAGGGAAAGGAAATAGAACGGAAGAGGGAAGAAACTCCCTGACAGCCAGCGTGGAGCTGGGAACCTAGTTGGAGGAATCGCCGGTCTGGTGGCCTCATGTGCCCTTCAGCACTTGCATATCCTTGCTCCCACTCTCCAAGGTCCGAACGCCCTCGACACCCGGTTTAGGAGCAATCTAGTTACTTGCATTCGGCAGTGAGGTATCGTCGGAGTCGCCTGTAAAAGGCGGATCGGGCTCGCCTTGCCCTGCTTCCCAGGTTTCTTACTGTGTTTGGGAGGTACGCCGTCAGGGTCATGCTAGGGCCCCTTACCTGATTGTCGGGGCTTCGTGGAAGTGGGAGATCGGTCCCCTAGCGCAACTTTAGCCTTAGAGAGTGGTTGGCTCTACTGGACTGGGATTGTGACTAGGTTGATGTCTGGGGCATGCATGCCATGCACTTCACTAGCCGGTACAGGGTTGGCGTTTGCAGCCAAGGGGGTCAAAACACTACGGGACAAAGGCCATGGCTCCGTGGGGAAAGGAGTCGTAGTAGTGCTTGGCTGACTTGCCACCACATTCTCTGGAACCTCTTCCGGAACAGTTTATTCCTCTTGCATTTCATCTGTCTCCTCCACTAGGACCGCAAAACGCGAGCTTTCCGTATCACCATTGGTAACATTCACCGGAGCTTTGGAATTGGAGGGCGGAGTCTTCTTGTTGCGTTGCTTAGACTTGGATTTCGCCACCATCCATTCTCCATAAGTTTTGGAGGAAGGCTGGCTTCCTCCACCATCGTGTTCTGTAGCCGCTACAGCAGTTGGGGCGGCCTTAAAGATGGACGGGCACGTAGCATGTGCATGGCCATAACGACCACATTCGGAACAGATCTTCAACAGGCCTTCATGTTCAATGTAATAGGTGACGCCTTCAATTTTGAATTGAGAGATAAGAGGTTTTGTGAGATCCACCTCCACACAAACCCGGGCGAAACGACCCATGGGCCCGTCCTGCATGGCTCGATCGACCTTGATCAGTCGCCCCATTCTCGAAGCAATTTGTTATGCCGCCTCCTGATTGTCAAACTCGATCGACAACAGGGAAATCGTGCCCATACCATGGTGGAGGCGACCTCCGCTGTCTTTCGGTCAAAACCTCGTCTCCATGGCTGTACCGTCAGAGAATGGCCACCAATCATCCAAGGCCGCTAGCTGCCGCCTTTTCATAGTCCATTTGGCTAGTGAAACGGACGACATAGATGCCCCATGAGAGACTAGAGACTTGGAGATTTCCACACTTGGCCCAGATCTTCTCGAGGCGTTGAACAATGACGTGAAAGGGGAACGTTCGTCCCAGCACCTTCACAATAAGGGTTGATCGCCATTTGCATCGAAAGCGTTGTTTTTAAATGGCCTTAAAGGGGATGGTGGGACACTGCGGGTCATCATCCTCCGGGATCTCGTCATCCAAATCATCCTCTCGCATTGCTGTAGCGACGTCTTCGGAGTCGGACTCTGCAACATACCAATAATCCTCTGTATGGAGGTCGCTGAAAAGCTTTTGTGTCCTCGCCGACCAGGCTGAGGCCGCAGGCCCTTTGGCAGGACCGTGGGGGGCAAAATCAGGATCTTGAGGTCGAGACGCAGCTCGAACTTCGTCATCATCCTCTGCCATAGGAGAGGGTTCGAAGAGGGGGTTGGCACTCATTGGCTTCGCCCTCTTCCTGGCTTGTTGAGTCTCCCTATCGGTCTTGCCATTCGGAGATGAAGCCCCTAAAGGGGGACGATAGGAACCATCAGCAGAGTCGGGTAGGTGGTGGTCCGAGGGAGCGTTCCCCGAAGCGACGACACTCATCGGTCAATCAGAATCGCAAGCGCAGGGAAATCGCCGCTCCGGTTATTGCGGAGCTAGGGTTTCTACCTTTAATTAATTGGAAGAAGTTGGTTAATTGTCGTAGGATTGCAAAAAAAAAAAAAAAAAACATTGAAATTGTAAAATTGAAATGTTGTTTATTAGAAGGATAAAACACAATAGCAGCGAGCGGCCTTTAGGGAAAAGGCAGGGATGAATAGACAAATTCATCCTTCCGTACTATACGCGCATCACAGGAAATCTAGAATGGAATAGGTTTTGGAAGAGAACCTCCTTATATAATTTGGAGGAAATCCATACGATATGATAAATGAGTTCGTTTCAATAAATCAAATTTTAAGGAGATGTCCAATGATAGAATTTTAGTTTATGTTTATCCACTCTCAAATATGGATGACAATTAAGGATTTGTTGGTGTACCTGGAGAGAACGATTAGAGAATTTCCCGAAAATTCCAGCTTCTTTCCTTCTTATTTGTATTACATATATGGTCAACATATAAGTAATTAGTTATTACATTGCTTATTACTACGGCTTATAATCTAAATCATTTTTCCCCTCTCAACATTCATAAGCACAAAAGCATTGTCGAGGAACACCAGGAGCAGTGCCGAGGTCACACAATCCTTGTCCACCGTAACGACTCTTGCATTCGTTCCAACATTGATCGTCGCCGCCACTACAGTCCCATAGAGCTGAGCAGTGTTTAGCTTCCACCGTCATCTTTGCTCCACCTTAATCATTAGCATGCATATAAAATTAATTAATTGTTCCTAAATAAAAAAAGAAATTATTATACAGATTCACATAACTAATTAAAAAATGAAATGAATTGGAGCGAGTAGAAAAGAAATGAAGAAACAGAAAATCACGATGAACTTCACGTAATAATTTGAAAATATTTTACCCGAGAAGGCAAAGAACAGAAGGGCTAACATGAAGTATATTGCGGAAGACTTAGCCATGTCTCTCTTGAAATCTTAAGATAAAAGAAGCAACCTTATATTTTAGTTTGTCTTCTCAAATGTTTGATTGTCTTGGTATTTGGATCTACTATTTATAAGAAGAATTTGTTTGATGATAAGACGCTCAATGAAAATATTAGCATGTAAGGGGAAATAACTTGCCTTTTTTAATTTTCTTACAATAGATTAAAAAAACCTTATATGGCCAATGCATATCTATAATTAAATGGAATCACATCTTATTTTAGTTGTGGTTGGTAAGAAAAGGTAGGTAGAAATGTACAATGCATATCTATCGAGTATATGTGCAATCTTATATCGAAATGCAAACGGATATGAGTATAGTGTATACACCCGAATTGGGAATTTGTGGATGGTTACTGGGTATGTAGGATACAAGTTTTAGAAAACCCTTAAAGTCCTTACACCATGAGGAAAAACCAATCTTAGATTGTTTTTTATTTATTTATTAAGGTTGATATAATATTATTAAGGAGCAAAAATAAGGAGACAAAGCAACAAGGAAATACAAGGGAGAAAGGGAGGAGCAACAGAACAGGAAATCGCCAGAGTGCCATTGACAAAAGAACCCCAACTAACTGTGCTAAGGGGCGACACTCAAGCTACAACACAAGCAAAGTCTAAATGGGGAACAACCTGCGTTTCAGTTCTATAAGCCAAGTCGACGTCATTCGGTGATCAACCTTTTTTGCTGCAGATGGCCACCAGAAAACGTCATTTCCAATCTTGTAGACAATTTGGAAAGCCGTCGCTTTTGGATCATCAAAGATTCTCCTGTTTCTTTCTAACCAAATCGCCCAGCAAACTACATGAATCGCGACCCTCGAACACCATTGTCCTGGATCCTTCGAATCCCCATGGCGCCAATGTCTGATTCTTTCCGCGATATCCTCCACGTTGGTAGTGATTCCATCGATCTTAATAAAACACTTCAGAATGTTCCACACTTCAATGGAGAACTTGCATTTGATGAAAATATGATCTACTGATTCTTCTTCTTCTTTGCACAAAGCGCATCGGTTGGGTAGGCTAAATTCCTTCTTCTTTAGGTTATCGAGGGTGAGGATTCTCATATAAAAGACCAGCCACAGGAAGATGCAGATTTTGCTCGGCACTACAGCTTGCCAGACCACTTTCGCCGGAAAGTCACCGCTGCCTGAGAATCTTGTCAAAGCGAGCTGCTCGTAAGCCGAGTGAACAGTAAAGCCAGCCTTCGGCTCTGGAACCCAAACAATTCTATCAGGACCTACAACAAAAGAAAAAGAAGGAAGGGAAGCCAAAAGCTCATCTAAACTCACACGCTCTCTCTCAGCCCCACCCCGAAGTAAAAATTTGAGAGGAATTTCCCACTAGGTAACAACACCCTGAGCAACCAGATGCTCAGCGACTCTAGCGCTCGGAGACTCCGCTGCGGCCAGAACTCGCGGAAATTCATCTGCCAATCGGGTACCTCAGATCCAAATGTCGAACCAGAAAGAAGTCCAGTAACCAGCCCCATGATCGATGACACCCAATTTCGAGAAGTCCTTCTAAAGTTTCATAATTTGTTGCCAAATGTCACTGCCCGACCTCCCCTGGCGATCCCCAGCCACCCAATCTGAGACAAGATTAGGGTATTTTGTTGCAATAAACTCCCTCCACCAGCTGCCTCTCTCTTCCGCAAACCGCCACTGCCATTTATGGAGAAGCGCCTGATTATGGATCTCTAAGTCCCGAATACGAAGCCCTCCCCGACTTCTAGCAGTATTGCAAAGATCCCACGAAACTAGGTGAAACCTGGCTCTGCCTTGTGTCCCAAACCACAGGAAGTCTCACTGCAGTTTCTCCAGAGCATTCATGACGTTTTTGGGGGCACGGAAGAGCGAGCACATGTAGGTGCATTGGCTAGCTAACACCGCATTATTATCACAACTCTGCCCCCGATCAAGAGCAAGTTACATTTCCAGCTGTCGAGTCTGGTATGTGTCCTGGCAATGATGGGGTTCCAAATAGCTGAGGACGGAGTATGGACCCCCAAAGGCAATCCAAGGTACGTCGCCGGAAGATAGCTCCATTCACACCCGAAGATCTCTGCCAGCCTGTCCAAGTTCTCAACCTCTCCAACCGGGGAGATCCTTGATTTGTCTAAGTTGACCTTCAATCCTGTGATTCTCTCAAAGTAAACAAGGGCAGCCAGAACACTTCGGACCTGAGATTCACTGGCCTCGCAGAACACAATTGCATCATCCGCATATGATAGGTGTGTAACTTCCCCTTGGCGGTTCGATTCATCGGCACAAAATCCAGCAAAGTGGCCAGCATCACTAACTTTGCAGAGGATAAATGAGAGAAGGTCCATTCCCACATTAAATAGGAAAGGAGAAAGGGAGTCGCCCTGTTTGAGACCCCTTTGCATTCCAAAGAACCCGGCAGAGTTACTATTGACCAGAACTGATAACTTCGATGAAGAAACGAGGCCCTCCATCCATTTCAAGAACCTGTGATGCAACCCCATGGATTTCAGTGCCTTGAAGATGCTTTCCCATCGTATAGAGTCAAAGGCCTTCTCTATATCAAGCTTTATGACAAGACCGGGCTTTCCACTTAGTCTGCGACTATCGATTGCTTCATTGGCGATTAAACAGGATTCTTGTATCACTCGACCTCTTTCCCACCAATCTTAGATTTCTTAATGTATTGTTATTTACTATATGGTATAATGGCTGGTATACTCCATTTGATCTAGCCGTTAGATGTACTTGGATGAGCTCTAACCAATCTCAACTGTCGATTATAATTTTTCATTAAATTGAACTTAGGGTTTGGGTTTAGAGAATCGGGGGCTGGGGTTTATCCATTAGAGGTTAGGGTATAGTATCATACCTCAAACTCGGTTTAATTCATGATCTATAGAGATATCTCACTAGGAGTACCGGTCTGACCCTTCACTAGGAGTACCTGGAGTATATATTTTCCTTTTTGTAGGGCGATCAAGACTAACACAATTGTAATCGAAGGATTTAAATCTCGACATGCTGATGACTACTATTCTGGAGTCTGACTAGATTGAAACCCATTTGTAGCCCGCATCCCATGTTATCTCCATGCTTCTAATGACAATCTATAGTTCCGTACGAGTGATCATACATTTTTACAAATTCATTGTGTAAAGCTAGCTAGCTTTTCACGACTGTTTTTTGTGGATCGGGAAATAGGAGGATTCGATAAAGCAAAAAAATGAAAGCATGAACAAACATGGTTTAATTCATGATCTATAGAGATATCTCACTAGGAGTACCGGTCTGACCCTTCACTAAGAGTACCTGGAGTATATATTTTCCTTTTTGTAGGGCGATCAAGACTAACACAATTGTAATCGAAGGATTTAAATCTCGACATGCTGATGACTACTATTCTGGAGTCTGACTAGATTGAAACCCATTTGTAGCCCGCATCCCATGTTATCTCCATGCTTCTAATGACAATCTATAGTTCCGTACGAGTGATCATACATTTTTACAAATTCATTGTGTAAAGCTAGCTAGCTTTTCACGACTGTTTTTTGTGGATCGGGAAATAGGAGGATTCGATAAAGCAAAAAAATGAAAGCATGAACAAACACATGACACAAAATTAAGGCAATTCACTACTTTGAGGAGATACAGATTATGAGAAGTATTTATAGTACTTCTCCATTGTCTAACCCTAATTCAATCTGGTAAAGGAAAAACATCCCATTAGGGGAAAGCACCTGATTGAGATCCCGTGACATCCCATCGTAGCCAAAAAGTCAAATTCAAGCACATCAATATATGTATTTTGTATGATTCAAGTCACATCAATTGCCCAAAATCATCTAATATAAAAGGACCACATTTTAACGTCCCTACTTTTCTAACAAATAAAAATAATGTTGGACAAAACTACACCGGCCAATAGGCCGGGCCATATGCTAGTAAAATAAGTTGGTTGTACGTACGTACCTTGGGTTACTACTGGGAGAAAGTTACTGCTCCTTTCATCACCGGCTTGTTGGTGATTGGAGAACTATAACCTAATTGTCTCGCGTTCATTTTTGTGCGTCATCATCGAAGGAGAACCTCTGGTTGCTAGCTCTTTGCAAGATTTACTGCATTGCTATTCAGTATCATGAATGTTCCTTCCTTATGTATCCTCTTGAATTCTCCTTCAGGCTTCCCAAGTTCTTTTGAGTGGTGATCAATCAGAGTGGAATGCATTGATGGAAGCAGAAGGAATGCTCAGTGATGGCTCTGTGCGTGATAAATATCTAGCTGAAGCTGCAAACGTCATCTCTGCCAACTGCACAGTTGGTAAACTTCTGTGTCTTCTCCTACGCATGATAACCCATCTTAACTGCCGCTGTGATGTGTTTGTGACCGATGTCTCTACATGCATCTTGTTCTCCCTCTATTAGTATGCTGTACCAGCTCAAACTATCCACTTTTGGTTTTCTTCAACATGTGAAGTCAGTTTCTTTGTCTAAGTACTGCCTCTAATTCAGCTGTATCGTTTTGTTAGCATTAATGCACAATGTCTGATCATTGAGACTTTAACTAAAGCTTAGTCGATTTTATCCATACAATTAAGATGGCATTGATGTGAATCTTTATTTATTTGTTTATTATTTTCTTGTGATTTGATGTGAATCTTTCTTTGCATTATTCTAGATGGCATTGCATGTGATGTATCATCCACGGAGGTTTTAAGGGAGCCATTCTTCTCAGCAAAGCTTTTACGGCTTATTGGAATTCTTTCTGAATTCAGGTATGCAAAGAAGTATAGGAAAATATGATACCTGTTGGTTCTTGTTACGTACAGAATGTAAGGTCTGTAGTCCTCACATGTTTTTATGTAGTTAAGTGGATGTTTGGTATAAAAGACGAATATGCTCCTGGGAGTATATAGCTACTCTCCTTTGTCCTCAGCAAAGGAAATTATGGGTTCATTTCTGTTCCTGTTGAATGCCTCTTAAATGTAATATCTACTTTGAATATGCTTGGTTGGGTTGGCAGTAGTTTCTTTTAGAACTGATGGATTGAACTATTGTGAACACAGAACAATCTGAGTCTCCTTTCTGGCTCCACCATGCTATTATCTGTCTGGTATATGATGGAACTCCCAGAGTTTACTGATAATTTCAAATTTTCCATGTTCAGGTTGCAGCGTGATATGAAGTGTATCATCTTTGTCAATAGGATTGTCACAGCAAGATCCTTGTCTTACATACTGCAAAATCTTAAAAACTTACCCTCTTGGAAGTGTGGCTTTCTAGTTGGGGTCCATTCTGGGTTGAAGAGTATGTCCCGAAAAACAATGAACAACATTCTGGAGCAGTTCCGCACCGGAAAGGTAATACTTTGCATCTTTAGTATCCACACTCGATCATTTTCTTACAGTAATTTCATAGATATCAAGCACAATGAGTAAGATATGCATGTCAAGGAAACCTCACCTCTAAGTTGAGAGGCAATAAGAATTTATTGAATCTCATTTAAAAAGTAATTGAAATGATTGGGGAGGAAGAAGTTCATAATGCCAGTGAACGTATTGATAAGCTAAATTGTTTGTTCACTGAAGAGCTGGGGCATATAAACATGCTGTCAATTATCCTTTGCTACCATCTGGTTGGTAGAAACTTGAATTTTATGGGGAGAGTGACTTTGCTTTGTTGACTTATCACATCAGCAACAGGCACTCATAAAAGTAGGCACTTATCAGTTGTATGGACTATGGAGTAACATCCAGTATGCATCATCATAGACCTGATTGCTAAATTGGACTAGCATTTAAGACTTGCCTGCATCTATTTCGCAGTTGAATTTGTTGGTTGCAACTAAAGTAGGCGAAGAAGGACTTGACATTCAGACGTGTTGCCTCGTAATCCGTTTTGACCTTCCAGAAACTGTTGCGAGCTTCATACAATCAAGAGGTCGTGCTCGAATGCCCCAGTCTGAATATGCATTTTTGGTGAACAGGTGCTCCACCAACATTTCCCTTGTATCATATGTTATTTCTTTTCCACCTGCATCTCTGACCCAGGTTTTTTCCCTTTATATTTCAGTGACAACCAAAATGAGCGAGACTTAATAGAAAGCTTCCAGGAAGATGAACAAAGGATGAACATCGAAATCTCTTGCAGAACAACTGATGAGAAATTTGATAGTCCTGAGGAAAGTGTATACAAAGTAGAAACATCCGGTGCTTGTATCAGTTCTGGATACAGTATTTCATTGCTCTATCACTACTGTGCAAAACTCCCTCGTGATGAGTATGCATTGTTCTCTTTCGGTTCCGCGCTTCTTTCTTTGAAAGATTTTAATGGTTTGTTGCAGAGTGAGTAACCCCATGTAATGAATCATGTTTTCAGGTTCTTTAACCCTAAGCCAGAATTTTACTATTTGAATGACTTGGAGGGTACTGTATGTCAGATTATCTTGCCTTCCAATGCTCCCCTACATCAAATAATCAGTGCGCCACATTCTTGTATGGAAGCTGCAAAAAAGGATGCTTGTCTGAAAGCCATTGAACAGTTACATAAGCTCGGTGCACTAAACAATTTTCTTTTGCCCGAGCGAGGGAGTTTAGAGGAAGAATTAGCAGAGGAAGACTGCATTGAGCCCGAAGGTTTTAGTCTCATATAATAGCTGACTTGCTTTTTCTCTATGTTTATCTGCCATTTCGATAATAATGGTTTCTTTACTTCTTGGCAGAGCAGGGATCCCGAGAACTTCATGAGATGCTTATCCCCACAATCCTGAAGGAATCATGGACAAGTACTGAGGATGTTGTCCTATTGAGCTCTTATTATATAGAATTCCATCCAGTTCCAGAGGATCGTACCTATAAGAAGTTTGGTCTTTTTGTGAAGACACCTTTACCGCAAGATGCTGCAAGCATGGAACTTGATCTGCATTTGGCCCGTGGCAGATATGTTGCAACAAAGCTTGTCCCATCCAGAATGTCAGCCTTTAATAGAGATGAGGTAAACATTAGCATTTTGTGGCTGAATTTAAAGTACATAACTTCCCTAGTACTTACTATGTTTTTGTGCACAGATTGTGCAGGCACAGAATTTCCAAGAAATGTTTTTCAAAGTCATTCTCGACCGTTCTGAACTTACTTCTGGATTTGTTCATTTGGGAAAGAATGGTTTCTCTAAATCAAGCCCAACTTTCTACTTACTACTTCCCGTCATTTTGGATGGTTGTGGAAATGAAGTGTTGGTTGATTGGGATATCATCAGAACATGTTTATCATCTCCCGTTTTCAGAAGTCCTGGTGATATGAAAGTGGAGGAAGATCCTATCTCTGACACTCATTTGCTACTAGCTAATGGTCGTAAAAAGATAACGGATGTAGAAAATAGCTTAGTCTATGCTCCATATAAGAAAATATTTTACTTTATTACCAACGTCATTCCTGGAAAGAATGGTTTCAGCCCACATAAAGGTTCAGAACCTCCCAGCCATATGGAGCACTTGACTACAACGTAAGTGTCTGATTTTCAGGAAAACATTACTGTTGTGCAATCAAACAAAGCCTTTAATCTCTCAGGGGTGTACTTGCAATTCTGCATCAACATACCTTTTGCTACGTGAAATTGTTTATGTTAACAAGTTGATCATTTTATCTATGTTAGGAATAACATCGATCTGAAGTATCCTAAACAGCCACTTCTACGTGCAAAACCACTGTTTCAGTTGCACAACTTGCTACACAATCGAATAAAAGAAAAATCAGGTATTCTTTAATTGATATATTCCCTCTTGCTTTTTCATTCTGGCTGTCTGTTGGCTTCTGTGATTCTCAGCATATTTGATTACATGACCTCTGGAAAGTTCACTTAGGAATGATCTAGTGCCGAGCCATTTTGTTTTTTTGGAACCATATTTTAGTCCTTCCAGCCACTGTTCCTAGGTTTAGCATTGAAGTTACCAATCTCCCATGTCAAATATGTGTTGTTGCGTACAATTATTGGATTTCCCAAATGGCACAGATATGCCAGGTTCAGTCTATGCATAGTAAATCAGCAGAGAGCATGTATTTTTCTCCTATAAAAGACAAAAGAGTTTCATTGTGTGATGTGATCTCTAAAGAGATGGCTGTGCTTAGACATGCCTACAAAAAGTACCTACAGGAGGGCACATTAGTAGTCTTGCATGACATCTTAGCTTTGCTGCTTGAGCATTAAAACTAGAAAGCAAGCCTTAATGGTGACATAGCAAGCAAAACCATTATAATTGGCTGTGTGTAAGTTATAATCTATCCTGACTAGCAGGATAAAGACACTGCAAGGTGTGGGCTAGGGTTCGTTTTAAATGCGTTGGGACTATTCAATTTCTCACGTTTCTTCTCCTGAGTTTGTGCTCGTCTGTTGTCTTTCTTCTGTCTGTTTTCTGCTGGGATGTTGTTCTATTCCTTTGTAAAATGTGGACCTGAGGACTATAGAGTGGGCTCTTCTGATGTCAATTTCATTGCAAACATGTTGTGAACAGAATATTTGGAACTAGATGAGTACTTCATTGATTTGGCTCCAGAGCTCTGCGAGTTGAAGATTGTTGGTTTTTCTAAAGATATTGGGAGTTCAATATCTCTGTTACCGTCAATCATGCATCGTCTTCAGAACTTGCTTGTGGCCATTGAACTAAAGGGCTTATTATCTGCTTCATTTTCCGAGGGAGCTGAAATCACTGCCAATAGAGTAAGGCCCTGCTGTCCACAGCATGCTTCGATTATTAGATTCCCTGGCAATTCAACTCACGTTATAGTAATTTTCTATGACCATTGCTTTTTCATGCAGGTCCTGGAAGCGCTCACCACAGAAAATTGCCAAGAACGCCTTTCTCTAGAACGACTGGAAATTCTTGGTGATGCATTTCTCAAATTTGCTGTTGGTCGACGCCTTTTTCTTATGGACGATCTTCTTGATGAGGGGGAGCTGACCAACAAAAGATCTAATGCAGTTAATAATTCCAATCTGTTCAAGTTAGCAGTTAGAAGCAACTTACAGGTACACTAATCAATTCTTGAACTGCAGGATCATATATACTGGTTACTGTTTGTCTCTAACAAGGAAAATTTCACATGGCAATCGCAATAGTACTCAACTGAAAGTCAAATGGATGTTAATCCGCACAAGTAGTTGTCAGAGAGTGCTGCAGACTTTACCATATATTATTAAATGAAAAAGTGAAGGTGACAACTTGAATGGCCTTAAACGAGTCGATCTACATGATTGAATAAATCTATTTATAGTCTTTGACATACTCACATAAGAAGGAAATAGTTGATTGAACAACTATGCTCTGTTAGGTTGAATTCATACATTTTGCACAAAACGTTGTAGTCACTGGTGGTCTAAATGGTGGATTCTGCATTTTCTCTTTAGGTGTATATACGTGACCAGCCATTTGATCCATTTCAATTTTTTGCTCTGGGCCATCCTTGCAAAGTAATTTGCACCGAGGAATCAGAAGCAGCTGTTCATAATGTATCTAGGTCCTCAGTAGATAATCCCAATAGTGAAATGAGATGCAGTAAAAATCATCATTGGCTGCACAAGAAAACAATGGCTGATGCAGTTGAAGCTCTTGTTGGAGGGTTTATAGTCGATAGTGGATTCAAAGCTGCAGCTGCTTTCCTTAGATGGATTGGCATTAAAGTTGAATTCGGAGAATCCCAAGTTACTGAGATTTGTGCTGCAAGCAGTCGGTACATGCCACTTGCTGCTTCTGTGAACATTGCTACTCTCGAGAAGTCACTAGGGTATTCCTTTCATCACAAAGGCCTGCTTCTACAAGCGTTTCTTCATCCTTCTTACAACAAGCATGGAGGAGGCTGCTATCAGGTAAGTGTCCTTTCTTCCTACCATAAACACTAGTAATCATGTGTCTAATCAATTCTTTGGGTGTGCTGGTTTTAGTCTTGGCTAAGTACTTGGTGAAAGTGCAGATACAACGTGTTTGGTGAGGTTTTAGAAAAGATATGAAATATTTTTTAGTAATAAAAAAGTAGTGATGGTACTTTAGATGGTTTGTTTATTAATAATAAGAATTTTTTAGATTTGAGAAATCACTATGAAAGGTATAACTTTGAGTAAGATTTTTACTCAAAAGAAACAAAGTTGGAAATGATATTTATTATTCAGGTGTATGCTGGATATTTATAATTCAGTGGTCCACAAAAGAAAAGTCAGATGTAAGAAGTGTGTTTGTTTCGATTTTGAACTCAAAATATTTTTACTTAAATTAAACAAATGTTGATCAGGAAAAAAATAATCTTTCTTATTGAGTACCCCGCTTAGTATTTTTTGTGGTCTACTGCAATTTTCTAACACTTTGATTGTACGCCCAGAGACTGGAGTTTCTCGGAGATGCTGTCATGGATTACCTTATCACCTCATATTTGTTCTCAGTTTATCCAAAGATGAAGCCTGGGCACTTGACGGATCTTAGATCAGCATTGGTCAACAATAGGGCTTTTGCCAATGTTGCAGTTGCTCGATCTTTCCACAAGTTTCTTATTAGTGATTCCAGTGCCCTCTCTGAGGCCATAGAAGCTTATGTGGACTTTGTTCAAGCACCTGCTAAAGAAGGCGGTTTTCGTGAAGGGCCAAGATGTCCCAAGGTTACCCCGGAAAACCTTAATCCTATTGTTTTTCTCACAGTTCTTGATAATTGATACGACATGGAACTTCACAGTCTGCATAAAATCAGAACTTTCCGATTGAAGAGAAAATAAAGAACGAATTCAACCGACATAATTATGTCTTCTACCTGAAAGGAATATTCAATTGCTGATGTGATTTCTTTGTTTCAGGCACTTGGTGATGTAGTTGAATCTTGTATGGGTGCCATTCTTCTTGACACGGGGTTTGATCTGAACCACGTCTGGAAGTTAGTACTATCGTTTTTGGACCCTATTATGAAGTGTCCCAACCTGAAGCTCAACTATGTTAGGGAGTTGCGAGAATTATGCCAGTCGTACAACTGGGTTTTGGAGTTTGAATCATCAAAGAAAGGAAGAGCCTTCTCAGTTGAAGCCAAAGTGAGCAGTAAAGATGTGTCTCTATCAGCCTCTGCATGCTACTCAAACAAGAAAGAAGCCACGATGATTGCGTCCCAGAAAGTATTTGCGAATTTAAGGGTAAGGCATGTTTTGTGGACTTATTGTCACCAGTGGTGTTTTGATTAGCATCACAAGTTAGTTGAGCTAAAACCTATCAACCTTACATGTTGAAGGGCATAGTTATGACCTTTTGTGCTTCTCGTTATGTTGTCATTATTGTATATTTGAAGGATTGAAGTTGGTATAGAACTCCTTGTCAGGGTTGCTTATAGGTGGCTTTTAAGTTAACTTCTAATAATTTGTAGGTTAAGGGAAATAGTATTATTAGAAAATTTATCATTGAGGGAGCACATTTGTTGCTGCTTTTCAGTCAACTTAATTTTAAGTAACTTTATTTTAGCTGGCAACAAACGCACCTTTTGGAATCTAATAAACGAAATCACTTTTTTTATGTTGCAGGCTCAGGGTCATGGTCAAAAGTCCAACTCTCTTGAGCAAGTTTTGAAGCATAGTAACAAGGAAGAGGCCAAGTTGATAGGATTTGATGAAACTCCTGTCGACATTGCCACTGCTGATGCCTGTGAACCCAGAGGGCGTGTCTATGATCCCCAGCATTATTCACTCAAAAGAGTTGGTGATCGTACACCACCACCTTGTTCGAGTTCTTCCAGCACAAAATCCCAACCTTCAATAGCATTACGGGCATCAGGTTAGTAAATCGATAGTGACACTGTGCAAGTTTTATCATAGATATTGTAGATTTTTTACTTTTTAGATGGAAACCTTCCTCAGCTGTTATCCACCAACGATCAGCAAGAACGAGATTATATGAAGTCTGCACTGCAAACTGTTGGAACCCTCCTTTGTTCGATTGCTGCTTTGAAGAAGGACCAAGCCACTTGAAGTCGTAAGTTCCTTTATTCATGTATTTGGAGGTGTGAATCTTGATGTTCTTGAATTGAGTAGAACATCTCACTCAATACTCAATATGCTGAATCCTTTGAGGGAAGCTGATCAATGCTTCATGTGATCACGCCCACCTATCAGCAGACCATCCTTTCTTTATCCAACTCCCATCACCACTCGCATTTGTCAAATTCTGAATCCAAAATCTGGTTCCACAGTTTTGTTTTCAAGGTCACGGTGGAAATTGAAGACTCACAGAGCATGACGTTGGAGTGTTTTGGGAATTCTCACACCAGGAAGAAAGTTGCAGCCGAGAGCGCAGCAGAGGCCGCACTATGGTACCTTAAACATGAAGGTTATGTACTATGAAAAGACTGGCTGACCAATTTTAACACCAGGATAGAGATCTTCATGGCTATGTTTATCACAAGAAACCAGCCGGGTCTTCATCTCCATTACTGAAGCTTGTAGGTATTTGATCAACTGGTAGATATGCTAATGCTGATAGTAGTGTTGTTTGTTTCCGGGCTCTCTTGTATTTTCTTTTTGTGTAGATGACCCGCCTAAGCTATAAGCTAGATGGTACCAGTCTGGGCACAATGTCTTAGACTGAGGAATCTGATAGATCCTGTCTGTAACTGAGACCTAATTGTTGAGCATTGCTTAACCCAGGGAACATATTGCACACATATATATAGAGAGAAGCTAATCCTTAAACAGGAATGGCAACAGTCTGTGCCCATTGCTTCTTAACATTGCAAGTCAGGTCATTGCGGGTCCCAGATTACAAATATAAATAAATAATAATAATGACTCATATATGATGTAGTGGAAGATACAGTTAGTGCTTTATCTCGAAAAGCTGGGATCGTGCCCCAGAACTGAACTGCATAGCAGATTCTGGGCAATGCAACTGCTTCGCGAAGTGTCCAGTCTATGACACTGACAGAGGCAAAGTGGAATGTGAGAATCGTGACAGTTTTACAGGTCTGTTAGCAGCAGTGCAAAGGGCAAAGCCGAGCTGCAAAAACCCCATATTTACAGGTCTGTTTTCAGCAGATGTGTAGGTAGCAAATCATCGGAAAAGAACGTAACTTAACACCAGAAACACATAAAAGAGATGAGAATCGAAGTTTTATTACCCATTTCAAGGCCGGAAGATGTCACTAGCGGTGTGCAAAAGTGAGAAACCAATCAATCAAACAAGCAAAAAAAAAAAAAAAGAAGCTGTTTTGCATCCAAAACCACAAGCATTTCACACAGAAGCTGCTGAGAATCATGAACAGAGGTAAACTCATTTCAACAAACAGGTAGGCGCGCTAACAACCAGATGTTAAACTCTCACCAAACAGTAAGGCAAGGAGTCAACAGTGCGGCTAAGCAACCTGTGGCTTCAAAGTTTGAGAGTTTTGCACTACCACATTACTAAAACAACAAATGCAAATGCTGTTTATATTGACATGTCATGAAGTCTTTCTTCGCTGAGCTCAGTTACGAGAGCTTGTGATCCAAGTGGAGGCATCAATGGGATGGGACGTTGGGCCAGCCTTGAAGGTTGGGCTCCGGCTGCCAGATCTCTGGCTTGCCCGCTCCAAGCCTGGAGTTGGGCCAGGGAGACTCGATGAAGATCGAGGCTGCATGGCTCCTAGAGTGGAGGGAAATGCGCTAGGCTGGCTTCACAGAGCAGCGATCACCTCCCTCTCCAGGCAGTGGAAGGATTACGGGCCGGTGGCACTTGGACCTGCATAGCCTGTCGGGCTGTCCAAATTGGACCATCTCTTTTTGTTCACTTTCAGGCACGGGAGGGGATCAGTTAAATTGGATCGCACGCACATGGAGTTTATAAATTAATTATCTTGAAACCAGAAAATAAACATCCTGGCCAATCTTTTCGATCTATAACATCCTGACCCGAACTATACACCAAAATAAAATAATTTGGCCAAACTCGATGTTTGACCGTTAACTTGGACGGTCAAACGCGTTGACCGTTTTTATAAATTAATTATCTTGAAACCAGAAAATAAAAGGGTTATATTTTCGTATGACCTGAACTTTGACCAAAATAAACATCCTGACCAATCTTTTCGATCTATAACATCCTGACTCAAACTATACACCAAAATAAACAATTTAGCCAAACCAGATGTTTGACCGTTAACTTGGACGGTCAAACGCGTTGACTAACAGTCAACGCGCCACGTCACTGCCAAGTCAGAAGATCTGATAAATATTAATTTTTTTTTGTTTTTTATTTTTGGTTTAACTAAGGTATTAGATGATTTTTTTAATTTATAATAATTTAAAATTAGGGAATGTGTGGAAATTGTGAATTATTTTAAATATTTTATGCTGACTTGGCAGTGACATGGCATGTTGACTAACGGTCAACGCGTTTGACCGTCCAAGTTAACGGTCAAAAGTCGGATCTGGCCAAATTGTTTATTTTGGTGTATAGTTCGTGCCAGGATGTTATAGATCGAAAAGAATGGTCAGGATGTTTATTTTGGTCAAAGTTCATACCATACAAAAATATTAATTCAAAATAAAAAAGACAAATTTAAACACAAAATAGGTACATATGCATTAATGCATGCTAAACGAAGTATTTACTAGCAATGTATTCCATTTCCACAAAGGATTTGTTTTCCCCTTTTCCGTGTCTGATAAGGATTAGGAGCTCTGCTTTGCTCAGCAAACGTAAATAAATAGCCAGACGAGGTCACTCTGCATCTTCTGCGCCATTGATTCCACAACACCACACACGACAATGGCTCCTCCTCGTTCCGCATCTTCCTCACTCAAATCAAGAGCCACGGCCGTCCTATCCGCCGCCGCCTCCGTCACCGCCACCGTCATGGTGGCTCGATCCCTGGCAAACGACTTCCTCCCTGACGAATTCCACGACTACGTCTCCTTCCGCATCCGCAAGCTCCTCAGCCGCTTCTCGTCACAGCTCACCATGGTCGTCAACCAATTCGACGACCGACTCGTCCCCAACCAAATCTACGACGCCGCCGAGACCTACCTCGCCGGCAGGGTCAGCCCGTCCACCACGCGGCTCAACGTCAGCCAGCCCGACAAGGAGAACAGCGTTCAGGTTAGCAATGCAGTCAAAATCGCGCTTTAAAAACCTTACGCGCTTCTACACTTCTTGATCTCCTAAACCACCGTAGAATTCGCGCTTTTCACTCACAAAAGTAACTGTAATCAAGATCTGCGTTTTAAAACTTAAAAGGTTACATTGTTTCGTTGCAGGTTAGGATGGAGAGCCACGAGGAGGTCGTGGACGAGTTCCAGGGCGTGAATTTCAGGTGGGTTCTGCGCTCCAAGAAGATCAAATCCTCAGCTCGGCGACTCGGATCGTCTCGAAGGAGTACCGATGACGACTTCTCCTCCATACTGTCCCTCTCGCACGCTCGGTGCTTCGAGGTCAGCTTCCCCAAACAGCACGAAAAAATGGCGGTCGAATCCTACTTCCCCCACATCGTCAGGGAAGCCAGAGCAATGAAGGAGGAGAAGAAGACGCTCAAGATCTTCACCGTGGAGCCGGAGAATCTGTACGGGAACATTTCCAAGGTATGGACCGGTGTAAATTTGGACCATCCGGCAACATTCGACACCCTGGCGATGGATGCAGGGCACAAGACCGCGATCCTGAAGGACCTGGCGCGGTTCGTCAGGAGGAAGGACTACTACAGGAAAGTCGGCAAGGCGTGGAAAAGAGGATACCTACTGTACGGCCCGCCGGGTACGGGGAAATCGAGCCTGATCGCCGCGATGGCGAACTACCTCAACTTCGACGTCTACGATCTGGAGCTGACGCAGCTGAGGGAGAATTCGGAGCTCAGGAAGCTGATCATCGCGACCGCGAACCGGTCGATTTTGGTCGTGGAGGACATTGACTGCACAATCGATTTGCAGAATCGTTCTGCGGCCAAGCAGAACCACCATAATCCTCATCATCATCCGCCGAAGCGGCAGGTGACGCTGTCGGGGTTGCTGAATTTCATCGACGGGCTGTGGTCGAGCTGCGGCGACGAGAGGATCATCGTGTTCACTACCAATCACAAGGAGAAGCTGGACCCGGCATTGATGCGGCCCGGGAGGATGGATGTGCACATCAATCTGTCTTACTGTACTCCTTGTGGGTTCAGGATTCTGGCTTCCAATTACCTTGGAGTGAAGGATCATGGTTTGTTTCCTGAGATCGAGGAGCTCGTCTCGAGGTGCCAGGTGACTCCTGCTGAAGTCGCGGAGCAGCTAATGAGGAATGACGACGATGATGAGGATGATGATGATGCTGGTGACCCTGAAGATGTTCTTACTAGGCTGATTGAGTTCCTGAAATCGAAGAAGGACGAATTGAAAGTAGAATCGTTAGAGACAAGTAAGAGCCAAGAAACCCAAGAGATTAAGAAAGGTGGACTAAGCAGCAGCAGCGACAACAAAGGCTAAATTCTTGATTGGAAGCTTTATGCAATATGTAGTTTAGCTAGTAATATTTTGTAATTTTATGTCATTTTGGTTCTAAATGTTGGGTTCATATTTTCTTATTATTTAATTATCATTATGAAAGTTATTATTTTCACATATATTACATGATTAGTCATCTGGGAGAAAATGTATTAAGGAATTTAGTAAATCTTCGTGTTAATATGAAGATTGAGAGTCTAAATCGCAAGACATGCAATCCAAATTAAAATGTACATTCCTCCAATTATGCACTAGTCGTGAAGTGAGCTCGTTGTATTTTTTACTCCAAGTCTTCCTCGCCTTCATATGTACTTTAGTTTGACATTCGTCTTAAAAAGAACTTGGACATTTTACTCGATAATCCGAGCCAGTCAAGAAAGATGGAATATAATTTAGATTCTTAGATATTTTCTTCTAAAAATCTTATACTAGCCCTATTAGTTTCACTAACTAAGATGATCCATTACAAGCTGATTGATGCCATGCCAAACTACAATGCGCATTGTACATCCAAGCTTTCCTATAGTTGCCATGCAAAACCATCTCCTCTGCAGGATTTTATGTTCACAACTTTCGCACAATGATGCGTCTTTCGTGCTTGTACTCGATTTCGTCCCTCTGGTTCATGGCTATTAGAGCTCTTCTCACCTGTGATGGTCAATCCATCCATACCTCGAGTCAATCGCTTTGATTCATGCACAAACATCTGATTAGAAAGAAACAATGGTGATGCTATACTTACAATGGATTCATTCATCCCCATCCTACTGAGATCATCGATTAACTTCCTCTCAGATATCCTCATTCCTATCCCAATCCTTCTCTTTATCTGAGCTTCAGCTTGCTGTTTCAGTGGGATCAAGAAAACGATCAACATCAAACGCCAGGCAAAAATGGGAAAGCAGAATCATTAGCTAGACTAAAGGGGGGACAAACCTGAATCTCGGGTGTAGAAGTCACATGCTGGTTGATCCCGGACTGTGCTGCCTCTATGGTAGACACCTTAAAGAGGTTCACTGCTTCAACCACATCAGCCTCGGTTGCAATCTGTGACCTGACAAGATAAAAGAAATTTAATGAGAAACACGTTACGTAGTTCTGCAGTGTTGAGGACTGACTGAATGGCACTTCGAGTTGTCTCACACGTACAGTTTCATTTTTGCAAGAGACTCGCTCAGCCTTACAATTGCTTCAAGTTGTCTTACTGTGATGGGCACAGCAGATGCTTCTCCTGTTTCATTGGCTTGCCTTCTCATGTCCTAAAATCAAAAAAACTAACCATCAGTTCTGTTATTACTATCTGAAAAACAGCAAACTTTGACTTCTGTTGTGTTTCCATGTGGCATAAAGCTACCTGTCTGAACCTGACGTATTCATTTTGGAGTCTCGTGGCTGCTGACTCGGAGAGACGAGGGCGACAAGTTGTCCGACAGAACTGTATATATCTGCAGAGGATAAACCCAGTTAGGACTGGCGTATCCTCAAATAAAAGACGAAATGAACACTGCTGATTCGCTTATTAGATACTTACCTCTTGAGCCAGTTATCTTCTTTAGAAACCTTGTGGTCTGTGGCCGTTTGATCAGCAGATGCATGGACCTTAATGATATGGCTGGCAATGATCTGCAAGAGAAGGAATTGAATTACTAGTACAAAAAACCAGTACTTCTCATCAATTTTCTTCTTTGAGAAGTTACAGATAACTACAATGAAAGCCCGTGTTCCCAACTGCAACAAGAAATGTAAAGGGTTTACTTTATTCAGACTGCAAATGATTGAAAAGTACCTTATCTCGCTTCATGTCTCTTCTGTCTTTCACTATGAAGATCAAGTCGAATCGAGATAGAATTGTTGTCTGCAGATCAATATTTTCTTGGGTAGTCTGATAGGAAGAAACTTATATTAGTTCCTTGGGGGGAAAACCTCAAATGTGCATATGGAAGGTTGGAAGAAGAACAAGTATAACTACTGACCTTGAGATCGTCATACCGTCCTGATGGAGGATTAGCAGCTGCAAGTACTGAAGTTCTTGAATTGAGAACAGTAGTAATTCCTGCTTTTGCTATGGATATTGTTTGTTGTTCCATCGCTTCATGAATAGATACCCTGAGCAGCAGCATAACAAATTGCTTATGCATCGGAGGAACCAAATAAAAGGGGGAAAATAGATAAATTGTTATTTCCAGATACCTGTCTTCAGGCCTCATCTTGTCAAACTCGTCTATACACACAACACCTCCATCTGCTAGAACCATGGCTCCTCCTTCAAGGTAGAATTCACGCTGATTTCACAGATAACCAAATTCCAGTCAGATCATAATACTGCAGATATTGAAAGAAAGAAATTCCACTACTCAAAGGCCAAGAGCTTACAGAGCTTCCATCCCGTATAACAGAAGCTGTCAGACCAGCTGCTGATGAGCCTTTCCCAGAAGTATAAACAGCAATAGGAGCTGTCTTCTCAACAAACTTGAGAAACTGCATCAAGCAAAAACAATCACGAAAAGAGAGACTAGTTGGTTAAGCAAATCCTAGTTATAATGATAAGCACTCTGCTGTTATGGGAAAAAACTTAAGTATAGAATGGAACAAACCTGCGATTTAGCAGTAGAAGGGTCTCCAAGAAGCAGCACATTGATGTCACCTCGTAACTTCACCCCATCTGGCAAGTTCTGTATTGGTGAAGCAATTGGTTACAACAATGCTAACTGCTATATAAGCATCAATAGACAAAAATTTGAGCAGCGTACCTTCCTTGAACCTCCAAATAGCAGGCATGCCACAGCTTTCTTCACATTTTCTTCCCCAAATATAGATGGAGAAATCTTAGCGCAGATGGCTTCGTAAGCATCTGTTCTGGAGGCAAATCTCCTAAATTCTTCTTCCTGTGTATTATATGATTGATTTAAGTCAGCTTAATGTCTAAAGCATTTGATACATTATAGAATACCCAATTGAATAATATTTAGAAGATGCACTCATAGATCATTAAGCAAGGAAAGGAGCACTATTACTCATGGTATGACATGCGAACAAACAAAAGGATGTCCCTTTTTTTTAATCACTTTAGCAGGCAATTCAGCTTTTCGATGTCCTGTCCCTCTGATCAAATGACACCCAGCAAAATTCTAAGTATGGACCTCTAGACGGGAGATTCATGCCTCGTAGATTATAGCAGGAGGTCAAAGGGTAACACTACTTGTGGACAAAGATTGAATAGTTATAGCAATAGGAAAATTTGATGATGATAATGTAGTTGAAATTTTCACGACATACCTCTTCCTGTGTGAAGGATGCATGACCACGACTACTGGCTTCATTGGCTTCTTCCATCCCCACAACCCTTATATAAGGCTGCCTAACTGCAACAGCTCCTCTATTGCTGCACAACGGCAAATCATTATCCCATAAATCTCAAATATCCCAAACACAATAGATTTAAGAAGACCCATTCATATGCGCTCGGCTCTTACTTATTTGATGAACTGGCTGCCTGAAAAATGCTGTAGATTCCGATGATGGTCAGCCTCGTCCCTGGTACTATTCTTTGAACTAAGTGACGATCCAACGAAAGTAGCATATTTCTAGGAAGCTCTCCAGTAGGGACATCCTTCATTATCAGCATTACAAAAACATCAATCACAAAAGCAAGACGCAAACTACCAAAAGTCGTCATTAGATGATTAATTCAATAACATTACCTCAGGATTCTCTTGCAATTTCAGGGTCTGCTGATCAACATATCTACTTTTGTCAGGAACTATAATCCAAGGATCAATGGGGCAAGCTTCTTCACCCGGCTAAACACATATGCAACAGCTTAATTAAAACCCTGAATGAACGAAAACCATATGTTGAACGAACGTGGATGAAGTGACTGAGGTACAAACCTGAGGAGCATGGTCACAAGAACGTGGCATGACAGCACCTCCAAGCCCTGGACGACATGGAACCTCCTTTGTACTCTGACAGTTCTTGCACACCAGACTCACATATGTGGCTTTTGCCTTAACTCGTGAAGCAGCAATGGTGATTCCAGATATCTTCACCAGCTTGGAAATGTAGTCGGCCTGCAGACCAACAACATTACCTTCGAGTTAAACATCGCAGAAGCAAAATCTAAACTAACATCAGTTCCCAAATCCCATCCATTCAACTACCCCTAGGGCTCTCATGGAAACCGGATCTTCCTTCGAACTCAGCAGTATCTGAACTTCCCCGGTCTCCGGCTCCTTCATTTCCCCGTCATCCGTTAGCTTCTTCAACCTCAAACCCTGCAGCACCTCCGCCGCCGCCGTCTCGAACTACAGGGGGGAAAAAGGTCAAAACAAATCCCTAAAATCAAACCAGCACCCAACACCAATCGAAGGCGTGATTGCATCAGATTCTCAATTGAGCTCTCCGATTCGACGTACCAGAGGGAGGTAATCGGCGGGAGAGGAACGGAGGAGCGAAGGAAGCTCGGCATCGAAAGCGAGCAGATCTTCGAGGTGCACGAAGAGAGACTTGGAGTTGTGAACGAGACTCTCTCGGTACGGGAAAACGTTCTTGTCGGTCTCGAAGTTTCTGATGAACTCCTTCAACTTCCGGAGGATGGTGTGGCGGCTGTGGCCGCCGCTGCCGCCGTCGGTGCCGGACTCCGGGAACTGCGCTTGGTCGCTGTAGTAGACGGCTCCTTCGTCCCAGCCCGACATCTCTCTGTCTCTCTCGCTGCAGTTGATCTCTAGCCTTCGCCGCCGGGTAATAGGTTATAGGATACTCCGATTACTCCGAGAAATTACTCTTTCTGCTGCTATTTGTTTTCGCCGACTGAAATGAGAGCGGAGGAAGGCACTGGACTAGAGAAGACGGAATGGAGGGTTATGTTGGCGGGAATTCTTGGCGCGAAATGTCGCACACGTCTCCCTTCTCACGTGCGAGAACTTTTTCCCTTTTCTTTATCTGAATCGCTATTTGCCGCCCGTCCCTTTACTATTTGCCGCCCGTAGTTACAAAAAATATGACGAATTTGCCCCTCCTTCTAACTAACCCTAAATCCTATCAAACTCATCCCTCACAACCTCCTCGCACAAATTGCCGGCGGCGGCGACTGCTGCTCCCACCGCCGACCCCTCTACTGCTCCCACCACCAACACCTCCATTCCTCCGACCTGGTCCGCCGACCCCTCCACAACCTCCCCTCACAAAATCGCGGACGTTGAAGAGGAAGGAGCTCGCCACGGGTGCTGTCGTCGCAGACGTAGAGGAAGGGGTCCGACCGCCGGTCGCGGACGGGGTCCGAAATCCATCGGCGGACCGGTTCCGAAAACCGTCGGTTACTGTTTTTTTCTTTCAAAAATCGTGTTTGAATTATAATTTATTTATTTAGTAATTAAATAAGTGTAAAATACCATAATTAGGATTTAAATAATTATAAGTATGATAATAAAGCAAATTGAAGAGAATTTTTTAAGGCAAGTTTTCGAAAGAGAAAATTGAGTAATAAGTTTTCGGAAGAAAATTTCCGTAATTAACAATATATTATTTTGATTATATAATACATCTAATGATTATCATTTATTAATATATTAACATCCCAATCCAAATAAGTTAACAACTCAATCCACTTATGGTAGTTGATTGAGGGAATTAGGGTTTGACTTAATAAGGGTTTGACCCGAATTAGGGTATGACCCGAATTAAGGTTTGATTTAATTAGGGTTTGACCCGAATTAAGGTTTGACATAATTAGGGTTTGACTCGAATTAGGGTTTGACTAAATTATATATTATTTTGACCACAGTTGTTTGAGGGAATTAGGGTTTGACTTAATTAGGGTTTGATCCAAATTAGGGTTTGACTTCTATAGGGTTTGACCTGAATTAAGGTTTGATTTATATAGAGTTTGACCCGAATTAAGGTTTGACATAATTAGGGTTTGACTTAATTAGGGTTTTACCCGAATTAAGGGTTGACTAAATTATATATTATTTTGACCACTGTTGTTTGAGGGAATTAGGGTTTGACTTAATTAGGGTTTGATCCGAATTAGGGTTTGACTTAATTAGGGTTTAACCACAGTTGAAATAATCGATTCCAACACATTTGTATCCACATTTTAAGAGATCGATGAAAGTTTCAATATTTTTTCATGTCGGTGACTCTAGTAATTGCTAAAAGATGTTTTTGCCCGACCTTCCCCAAGCCGCAAAGAGTCCTCTTCGTGCCTCGATTCCTTGGAAGTTTTATAAAAATAATTTAGGTACGTTGATCTTATTAAATATGGAATAAATACAATTAAAAACATAATTTATTAAAACATAATTTATACACTACTTCAGATAATTTGTAATTATTTAACATACTATAATTATTTAATTGGTATTATACTGAATTTATTTATTTTAGCTCTATTTACATAATTATAAAATAAGTATGAATTAGTTTGTACAATATTTTTTATAGTTTAATTTTATTTTTTATAAATGCACGGTCCGCTCGCCGGCGTCGGACGGGGTCCTCCCGCCGGCGTCGGACGGGGTCCTCCCGCCGGCGTCGGACGGGGTCCTCCCGCCGGCGTCGGACGGGGTCCTCCCGCCGGCGTCGGACGGGGTCCTCCCGCCGGCGTCGGACGGGGTCCTCTGTCGGCTGTGATGATTTGGTTCTGGCCGCAGTGGTGATCTGCCGGTGGTGGCGACGTCGGCGATTTGGCGACGGTGGTGGACTGGCGCCGGTGACAGCAGGAGTGGCGGGGTTTGTTTTATAAAAAATTAACAAAGGGTAAAAATGTCATTTTAGTTTAATTTACGGGCGGCAAATAGTAAAGGGACGGGCGGCAAATAGTAACCCTCCGCCGGCGGGAAAGCCGCTTCCCTCTATCTTTCCCCCATTTACGCCGTCGATTCGTCGCTGCCGGGTTGAATTCTGCCGCCGTTTATGCGCCTCCGCCACTCCGACGCCAAATTCACCCAATCACGTCATGATATTCTGCCCGATTCACCTATTGGGTCGAATCCCTTCACCCAGGTTGCGGTTTTCTGTGATTTCAAGATAGCTTCCATGAACCTCGGTATGCAATGCGTAACTTTGCTGATGGCTCTTTTTTCACTGCACCATAATCGTATTGCGTAATGAGATTAGATTTCAAATTGCCGACTTTGTTAGCCAACCCTAAATGCAGTAGCTTCCTATGCATCGTCATTCAGTTGCTTTTGCTAATTCTGGTGCTCTGGTGTTCTTGGCTTTCATTTCAGCATTCATTCTGCAGTACAAAGTTGTTCCCAGATAAGGTTCTCTAATGTTTTCTTATGATACAAAACAAACCACATATGGTAGTAGCACATACATTTTCTAGTAGTAGTAGCACATATATCTTAGTCTTTCTGATTTAGAAGTAGTAGCACAGAAAATTTCACTGCTGTGGAATGTGGATTCATATTGCTCTGCCGATGTGCTTCCAGTTGACAGGGACGAGTAGGAGAGGCTCCTTTCTGGACACAGTAAGACTGACGCCACTCTTCTCTTCCATGTTTAAATCTTGGGGCTTAATCCCGTTTGGTAATTTCCAGTCAAAGCAGTAGAGCAGGTTCGCCAGCGCAATTTCGACCGTGATGATTCCCATGTTAATTGCAGGACAGATTCTGCGACCAGCTCCAAATGGCAGGTACTCGAAGTCGTGCCCTTTGAAATCCAGGCAGCTGTTTGCAAACCTTTCAGGGATGAACTTATCAGCATTCTTCCAGTAGTTTGGGTCCCGTCCCATTCCCCAGGCATTGACGTAGATCATTGTCTTGGGGGGAATATCGTACCCGCTGATTTTCAAGTGGGATGATGCTTCTCTAGGGATTAGAAGAGGGGCTGGCGGATGGAGTCTCAAAGTTTCTTTGATTACCAGCTTCAAGTATTCCAAATTTTCAAGGTCATCTTCGGTTACCCTACCTTTCTCTCTAACTATGACCCTGACCTCATCTTGTGCTTTCTTCATCAATATGGGATTTGCCAACAGCTCTGCCATCGCCCAGTTCACAGTTAATGCAGCAGTGTCAATTCCACCTAAGAACAGGTTCTGATTGGCAAGTAAACTTAGTGCCTGATAGAGGAAAAGAGTTCAGTTTTGGTGGAGATGAAGTATATAGATTGGGAGGCTTACCAGGAAAATTGCCTTGATGTTCTCTCTTCTGAACTGAGATTTGCTACCGTGTAATTGAGATTGTTCCTTCTCAATTGCCAGCATCAGATCGATCATGTCTTCTTCAGCTCCTTCCCTTCCGGGCTTAAGGTGTTCATCGATGACATGCCTGTAGAAACTGTCGAGCTCATGGAAAACTCTTTCAATCCTTGCTTGATGGCCATTTAATTTGTCGACAATCCAACCAAATGGTCGAGGGAAACACTCCTCCCCCGATATGGTTCCCGTAACAACCTCAGCTTCATGAATCACCTCATGAAATCTGCCTTTGTCAAAGTCGCTCCCATGGTAATTGAACCCAAAAGACATCCTGAAGGTTATGTTTGCTGTGAGAGAGAAACACTTCTCGGTGAGATCAAAGGTGGATCCGGATGCTGATATTTCGGAGATGGAGTCGATCAGCAGGCCAACTTCTTCCTCCCGAACAAACCGAAACGCCTTCACCCTCTTCACACTGAAGAGCTCGAGTATGATCATTTTCCTCATGAACCTCCAGTTGTCTCCGTAAGGTGAGAACCCCACGTCCAGATAGTTATATGTCAGCCTCCTAGTTCCAACCAGGGATGGCCGGCTGCAAGTGTCAAGGTCATGAACTTTCATGACTTCTTTGGCCGCTTCAGGGGAGGAGATGATCACTGCGGGTATCTGGCCAAAGTGGAATTGCATAACAGGGCCATATTTCTTGGCAAGTCGCCAGAGTGACTGGTGCGGCAGAGCACCAAGCTGATACAAGTTGCCCAAGATTGGAAGTTTGGGAGGACCAAGTGGTGGAATCTGCTGCAGGTTGCTGTTCTTCCTTCCTGATAAGTTGATCTTGTTCTTGATTATGAGAACCGCAAGGGGAAGAAGTAAGAGAACAAGGAGCCATATGGTGGCTGGGAAATCAGGTAGAGCCATTTGTGGGTTGAAAATGGTGAAATTTCTCTTTGAGATGCAGTGCTTAAGTAGCTAGTGCAAGAGACCTACGTTAAGGATTCGGGTCTCTTCTGTCCTGTGAAAGATATTTTTTTCGTTTACACTTTCCTGTGAAAGATTTGAGTATTGCTTTTAGTGGATGGTCCCAATTTCACAAGGACCTTTTGACAAATTGTGTGTTTTGGAAAATACGCAGCCATGAATTCGACTGGAGTCAGAATCCTCGCCAAACTCTGCCTAGATTTGTGTAATTATTGTGCTTGTTGCTATGTGATGATGTGATGCTTGGTGGCTGTTTGTGTTTTCCACATGCTTGGTAAGTAAAGTTGATAAATTTTGTTGGTTTTGTGCATTGATTGGTAAGTAAAGGTAAATTTTGAATGTATATTAATACGATCAGTATGTTGTGTTTTTCTCGTCAATTTTAGTATATTTATGTATGATTAGTTTACATATGATTTCCTCAGATATAAAAGAGGTGTATTGTGTCTTTCTCGGCTGGGTTAACTCACATCTGATCCCCTCAACATTAAAAAGAGGTATTTTAAGTGTAAAATATAACGAACGAAGAGGCGCTAACGAAAAAGATTAAGTTGAAGTGAAGAGATAACTTTTAAATGAAGAGTGTTAATTTCATCAAGAAGTTTTAAGATTAAGTTGAAGTGAAGAGATAACTTTTAAATGAAGAGTGTTAATTTCATCAAGAAGTTAAAACGCCTTTTTTTTCATTTTGCAGGCTACTGGTATAGTGTTGCGCTAATGTATCCACTCATGAACATTGGTTAGTAAGTAAAGTTTATAAAATGTAGTTCGGTGCAAAACCCTGCTTTGGTCGAGCTTTAAGAAATCCATAAACTATTCATATTTTCAAACGTATCGATCATTCAAATTGACGTTCGAGTAGCATAGCATACCAAATTAAAAGAAAATTATTTCAAAAGATATGAATATTTTCAACAACTTCATAAAGTTGGGACCAAAATAATCGATTTGTGTAAAATTCAAACGAAATTGGTATATATTAATCCTTCACGCACACATTTAGTAAACGTGGGGTTTAATTAACCACCTAATTCCTGTTCCAACTACTTCATCATGGTGGCTCAGCAATCATACTTGTATAGATAGGATCCCCAATAAAACTACTCTGGTTTGTGCACACATCGAAGCAGATGACACCACCATCTGTTTTCCACATATGAATTCATGTGTTTTTAATAGTTTTAAGGGGTGGTTTGGAAGTTGCGAATGTTAAATCGTTGCATTGTAACGAATCATCATAATATAAATACATTTATTGATACAATAGATACATTTTAACGATACATTGTTTGGTTGTTGAGATTCTACTTTATGCATTGATTTACATAAAGTTACTTTGTATGGGGAAATGCCACATTTACCCTCAACTTTTAGAATATGACAAAAACTTTTAGGGATATAAATGGAAAGAAAAAGTTGACACAAACCTAAACACTATGTTTCCGAAGGAAGGGAGGTGAAGGAAAATTAGGAGGGGAGGGGAGGGGAGATTTGGAGGTTAAGGAAATGGGAAGGAAAATGGTGTTTTATGAAGGAAAGTGGGAAGGAAAATGTGTATTGGGAATTGTGTTGGATATGTTATTGTATTGGGTATATAATAGTAAAATAATTTGATTATATTGAGTATGAAGTAAATACGTTTATACTTTCATCTTTCTTATTGGGGTTAGACGTGAGTTGGTGGGATTTGTATTGGGGTGAAGAAAAGAAATAAAAGTAATGAAAAACAAAAAAAACACCCGCCCAACCTAGCTTTCCCTCCGATTTGGAGGGGAGCTTTGAACAGTATATTTTTTTCCACTTTCCTCTCCTAGCTACTGTTTCAGACATAAAAGAACAAGGGAAAGTTTCTTGGAAATAACATTTTCCTTCCACCATCTCCCCTCCCCTCCTATAAAAACACAGTGAAAATCAATAATCACAACAATCTCAACTTTTAGTTGAGATTGTATAATGCATCATTTTTTTTTTGTGATTGTTGGTGGGACCTACCTGAAACAATGCATGCATTGTTTTATAATTTGACCCTTCCAAATATTGTATTGTGTACAATACATGTATTCAACAAACACAACTCTAACAATCATAACTTCCAAACGACCCCTAAGTTTGTGTTTGTGTTTGTGTTGGGTTGGATTTTAGTCAATTCATAAGGGTTGGTTCAAATGGGCCTGTAAATTGTCTAAGCGAACTTCTACTTTTCAATTGACGGACTGTAAGTTAACAATAGGATTATGGGCCGGCAACCATTGTACTGTAATTTACTACCGTTTGTTTCGTTTTGTGCAGAATAAGAGAAACTGAAATCTGAAAACAAGAAAAGAATTATGCTGTACAGAAAGGGCGGGTGAAGTGAGAATGGAGGTTTATGTTGGCGGGAAAATGTGCCAGACGTTTCCCTTCACCAGCACCCGGTCTCCGATTATTTTCTCCTCTCGGTCCGGCGATCGGCGTCCTAACTACTGAGGCACACTCCGGCGGGGATTCCCCTCCCGTCCATTCCCCCCTGTCAAATTCGTCGCTGCCAGGTGAAATTCCTCCGCGCCGATTATGCTCCTCCGCCTCTCCGAAGCCGAGTTCACCCAATCACGTCGTCACACTCTGCCCGATTCACATAATTCCACCGGTGAATCGGGTTCAACGACCGCAATTCAGCCTCTGACTAGGGATGGCAATTTTGCCCATATCCATGGGTATTTTACTATCCAACCCTATTGGGTTGGGTATGGATTCCAAATAAATGGTAGATGGGTAGAGTTTGATGGATTTGTACCCATACCCATTTACTTGGGTTGGGTTGGGTTTTTAACACATGGATTTGGATTTGTACCCATGCCCAAAAGAAAATTACAGTTTGGTACCTAAATTTAATAGATATGAAGATTTAGTACCTAAATTTAATTTTTTTTTGCATATAAGTCCTCAAAATATCGATGGAAAATTACGTTTTGGTACCTAAAATTTTTTGGTCTTACATTTTGGTACCTAAACTTTTCAAGTTTTACAAATAGGTCCAATTCTTGTGTGTGTAGTTAAAACACCCTCAAGTAAATGGATATCCATATCCAACCCATACCCATTTACATTATGAAAGCAATATCCATACCTAACCCAAACCCATTTACAAACCCCCAAACCCATATACACTTCATCCAAACCCTACCCATACTAAATGGATCTATTTGGATTTGGGTAAAATTACCCATGGGTGGGTAATTGCCATCCCTACCTCTGACAACGCGCAATCGAATAGCCCCCTTTTGTTCTTTCTATTCGGTCTGAATCTCTTTGCCCTAGTTGCGGTTTTGGGGTTTTGGGATAAGCTTTCCCTAATGCAGTAGTCTTCTGTATTGTTGCTTTTGCTAATTCTGCTGTGCCGCCGCTCTAATTTGCTGTTGCTATGGCCAATTATTATATTTGTGAATGTTGCTTCACTTCCCGTTGTTTGGTTTCAAGATAAAGTTCTCTTATGTTTCTTTTTTGCTGCACGCTAATTGCAGGAAAACAAACACCTACTGATATCAAACACTGGGAAAGGCCTGGCACAAAGCTAGTTCTTTTGGTGTCTTATTTACTTACAAGCAGTAGTCTACGAGTTCCGCTGCTACGGATTGTATTGCCCGTCGGCTGATGTGCTTCTTCTGGTTTACTTGTTGCGCCACTTGACAGGGATGAGTATGAGAGACTCCTTTCTGTCCACGGTAATTCTGACGCCACTCTTCTCTTCCATGGCCATATCTTCGGCCTTCATCCCATTTGGCAGTTTCCAGTCAAAGCAGTACAGCAGATTCACCAGTGCAATTTCGACGGTGGTTATTCCCATGTTTATTGCAGGACAGATTCTGCGACCAGCTCCGAATGGCAGGTACTCGAAGTCTTGACCTTTGAAATCCAGGGAGCTCTCTGCAAATCTTTCAGGCATGAACTTGTCAGCATTCTTCCAGTATTTTGGGTCCCGTCCCATTCCCCGGGCATTGATGTAGATCATTGTCTAGGGAGGAATGTCATATCCACTGAAAATTGGAACGTCATGAAATTCTGCCTGATTCACCTAATTCCACCGGGATTCTGGTGCGTCGACCAGTCAAAGGCCGCCTGTTGGGTCGAATCCCTTTACCCAGGTTGCGGTTTTCTGGGATTTTAGAAAAAAGCTTCCATGCACCTCAGTATGCAACGCAGCGCAACTTTGTTGATGGCTCTTTTTCCACTGCGCTATAGTCATATTGCGTATTGAGATTGGGTAGCGCCAATTCAGTCAGGTATAACAATCTTTTCTAGTGACCACCATTTATCACCATAGATCAAATTGCCCACTTTGCTTGCCAGCCCTAAATGCAGTGGTTTCCTGTGCATCATTGCTTTTGCTAATTCTGCATTCATTTCTGCTCCTATTTCCTTGCTGCTCAATATTCATGGATTCAAAGTTGTTATCTTGCATAAGGATTATTGTACCTGTTGCTTCCCTCCCTATTGTTCCCATTTTCAGGTTATCTATGGTGTTCTTGGCTTTCATATCTGCATTCATTGTGCAGTACAAAGTTGTTCCCAGATAAGTTTATCTAATGTTTTTTTATGCACGCTAATTGCAGCAAAACAAATCATATATAGTAGTAGCACAGATAATTTTCAAGTAGTATTAACACATATGGTTTAGCACTTATGGATTCATATTGCCCCGCTGATGTGCTTCTGCTGGTTTACTTGTTGAGCCAGTTGACAGGGACGAGTATGAGAGGCTCCTTTCTGGCCACAGAAAGACTGGCGCCAGTCTTCTCTTCCATGGTTATATCTTGGGGCTTCATCCCATTTGGGAGTTTCCAGTCAAAGCAGTACAGCAGATTCGCCAGTGCAATTTCGACGGAGATTATTCCCATGTTAATTCCAGGACAGATTCTGCGACCAGCTCCAAATGGCAGGTACTCGAAGTCGTGCCCTCTGAAATCCAGGGAGCTATCTGCAAATCTTTCAGGCATGAACTTGTCAGCATTCTTCCAATAGTTTGGGTCCCGTCCCATTCCCCAGGCATTGACGTAGATCATTGTCTTGGGGGCAATATCGTATCCACTGATTTTCAAGTGAGATGATGCTTCTCTAGGGAGTAGAAGAGGGGCTGGCGGATGGAGTCTCAAAGTTTCTTTGATTACCAGCTTCATGTATTCCAAATTTTCAAGGTCATCTTCGGTTACCCTGCCTTTCTCTCCAACTATGACCCTGACCTCATCTTGTGCTTTCTTCATCAATCTGGGATTTGCCAACAGCTCTGCCATCGCCCAGGTCACAGTTAATGCGGCAGTGTCAATTCCACCTAAGAACAGGTTCTGAGTGGCAAGTAAAGTTAGTGTTTGCTTGAGGAAAAAATTTCTATTTTGGTGGAAACGAAGTGTGTAGATTGGGGAGGCTTACCAGAAAAACTGCCTTGATGTTCTCTCTTCTGAACTGAGATTTTCTACCGTGTAGTTGAAATTGTTCCTTCTCGATTGCCAGCATCACATCTATCATATCTTGCTCAGCTCCTTCCCTTCCGGGCTTAAGGTGTTCATCGATGACATGCCTGTAGAAAGTGTCGAGCTCATGGAAAACTCTTTCAATCCTTGCTTGATGACCATTGAATTTGTCGACAATCCAACCAAATGGTCGAGGGAAACACTCCTCCCCCGATATGGTTCCCATAACAACCTGAGCTTCATGAATCACTTCATGAAACCTGCCTTTGTCAAAGTCACTCCCGTGATAATTGAACCCAAAAGACATCCTGAAGGTTATGTTTGCTGTGAGAGAGAAACACTTCTCGGTGAGATCAAAGGTGGAGCCAGATGCTGATATTTCAGAGATGGAGTCGATCAGCAGGCCAACTTCTTCCTCCCGAACAAACCGAAACGCCTTTACCCTCTTCACGCTGAAGAGCTCGAGTATGATCATTTTCCTCATGAACCTCCAGTTGTCTCCATAAGGTGAGAACCCCACGTCCAGATAGTTATATGTCAGCCTCCTAGTGCCAACCAGGGATGGCCGGCTGCAAGTGTCAATGTCATGAACCTTCATGACTTCTTGGGCGGCTTCAGGGGAGGAGATGATCACTGCGGGCATCCTGCCGAAGTGGAATTGCATAACAGGGCCATATTTATTGGCAAATCGCCAGAGTGACTGGTGTGGCAAAGCACCAAGCTGATATAAGTTGCCCAGTATTGGAAGTTTAGGAGGACCAGGTGGTGGAATCTGCTGCAGGTTGCTGTTCTTCCTTCCTGATAAGTTGATCTTGTTCTTGATTATGAGAACCGCAAGGTGAAGAAGTAAGAGAACAAGGAGCCATATGGTGGCTTGGAAATCAGGTAGAGCCATTTGTGGGTTGAGAATGGTGAAATTTTATCTTTGAGATGCAGTCCTTAAGTAGCTAGTGCTGGAGGAAGTACGTAAAGGATTCGGGCCGGTCTCTTCTGTCTTGGGAAAGATCAGAGTATTCTTTTTTAGTTGCTTTCAATCGAGGGTCCCAGTTTGACCAACTGACCATGCACAGCACACTACCAGCGGAGAAGGTTGCAACCGGTGCCTCGTCAAATTATAGAGTTTTGGAGAATACCAAGCCATGGATTTGACTGGGTTCAGAATCTCCATCAAACTTCGCCTGCATTTTTGTAATTATTGTTAGACCTGGCAATTCGGTTGGGTTGGGTGATTTCGGGTTGGAGTTTTAGGTTACAGGTCGGGTCATGTTGGGTTGGCTTATTTCGGGTAAAATATTGACCCAACACATTTGGTTTCGGGTCATTTCGGGTTATGAGCGCTCGCAGAAACAATATCAAACATGCTTCATATTTTTTTAACGAACACAAATCTTCACATACGCATGGCAATAGTTTACCTAACACATAGCAATTAACATATTCTCAAACCTTCCCATGCTAATGAAATGAAATACAAATTGCACAAATAATCAAAAAAACAATCACAAGAGTAATACTACTACAAGCAACACATGATATTTGATTATGCTTAAACTCTAAACATGTCTTTCAAATTCTTGTGAATTTTTTTAAGCATCTCACCAATTTATGAGTGATTTGATCATTTTGGGAGTTACATATGAAATGGAACGGGTCTAACGGGTCAACCCATGAACCCACCCAACCCGACCAAAAAAATCACGGGTTAACGGGTTCGTGTCATTCAGATTTCGGGTTATAAAAACTTCTATTTTTAGGCCGATTTCGGGTCGGGTCAACGGGTCGGTTTGTAATTTGTCAGGTCTAATTATTGTGCTTGTTGCTATATGATGATTTGATGGCTGAGAAATAAAAACTCAACAAACTCTTTCATTGGGATCAAGTGATTTGTTCACTAATATGATATCAATATCTTGAACCGACTGGTCATGGTTTTGGATTCTTATGACAATTCTTAGTATAAGCAATGGTTTATGTTGGGAGTATTACCCAGCAATTAGGAGTTCGGGCCCGCCAAAGAAAAGAATTGGGGGGCAAGGGCCAAAAAGGGCTCCACTAGAAACCCTTAGGCCCAAGCAAGGGGAAGACCCCCACAAGAATAAAACACTAAAAGCCAAAATGAGACCAGCTGTCGGGTGGTCCTCTGCCTGCGGGCGCCTGTCGTGTGTCAGAGGCCTGACAAGGCTGTTGGGTGTCTGACAAAGAGGGCACAGAGCATTAAATTAGGACAATGACGTGGAGGAGATCAACCTCGAGTTTGGTGAGTATAAATAGGGGCAGTTGGTAGCATTAACACAGGTTGGACTCTCTCACCAAATTTACTACTTGAGAACACTTCTCTCTCTAAGGGAACTAACTTGGGCGTCGGAGGATTAACGGGCCCGGGCGCCCTCCTCTTTGCGTGTGCAGGCAGGCGTCGGGAGAAGGGAGGTTCCCGCGATACAGGCGGGTATCGTGGCTCAAACAATTGGCGCGCCAGGAAGGGGAATATAACCAGGAATCATGAGTGAGGAGGCGGCGTTGAACGATGAGATGGAAAGGGAGGAAGTCACGGAGGACCAACCGGAGCGATTAAGGGGGCTGGCGCCCGAGATGGAGGAGGGAGAGGAGAGCGACGACATGTTTCTGGGATCGGAAGGCGCCTCGATGACGAAGAGAGAGCTGTTCAGAATCATTGAAGACCAAGACGGAGCAATCGAGGCACTTCGAAGGGAGGTCGATGCCCTAAAGAGGGGTGGAGGAATGACGCCCAGTCCAACGAAGAAAAGGGAAAGGGTGGCGGAGACGGAAAGTGAGTCGGAATACCAGAGGCACCCCAGTTTGTGGCGCCCGCGAGAGTACGATGGGCCAGAAACGGGAGGATGGAACGGGGGAATTTTGGGGCGCCTGTCTCGTCACGGACCCGTGAGACAGCCTTTGGCGCATAACATACTAACGGAGCCAGCGGGAACCAACATTCCCCCACTCCCCACCTACGATGGGACCGCTGATCCGGAGGACCACCTCAACGGTTACTTCACCAAAATGCAGCTTTACAACAGCACAGACGCCACACTGTGCAAAGTGTTCCCGTCAACTTTCGCGGGCGTGGTCCTCGATTGGTATTATCAGATTGAAGAAGGGCGCATTGAGTGCTTCGAGCAGTTTGCGGAGATGTTTCTTGCGAAGTTCGCCAGCAGGAAACGTCGCACCCTGACCATAGGCGCCCTGTTCAAGATCAAGCAAAGAGATGGAGAGGCGTTGAGGGAGTTCTATGAGAGGTGGTTATCTGTGGCCCTGGCGGTGAAGGATGCGCAGCCGTCAGTGTTAGGAGTATGCCTGAACGAATGCACCACCAGCGAGGAGTTGTGCATATCGCTGGCGAAGAGAGACGTGGTGTGCACTGAAGATCTGGATCGCAGAGTGCAGAAGGTAATCATGCTCGAGGAAACTTTGGTGGCCAGGAGGGCCGACAGACGGAAGGCGAAGGGAGAAGAGGCGGAGACGGCAAGGAGGCCGCACTTTGCGAGCGGGTCGGGGTATGCGCCCGCGAATCCCCCCCCCCCCCCCACCCAGGAGAATGGACGTCGGACGCCCGGCGCCCAGGGGACCCTTTGCTGAGTATATTGATACGTTGAAAAACGTACTCCAACATGTCAAGAAAAAGGGGTATCATATCAGGTGGCCGGGCCCCATGAGAGGACATCCCAACGAGCGGAACCTAGATCGATATTGTGACTTCCACCGAGAGGTGGGACACCATACAGCCGACTGTTATCAACTGAAGACCGAGTTGCAAGGCCTGGTCGACAGGGGGATGGTCAATGACTTCGTCAAGAAGCCCTAAGAAAGAGTACACAGGGCCTGTGTGGCCGGTGTGGAAAGAGAAAAAGAAGAGCTACCACCCCCGCCATACGAGCTCGACCAAGAAAACGCGCCCGAACGGGTGCGCCTGACTATAGAGGCTATTTCAGGGACGATGGACTTGAGGGAGAAAATAGAAGCAAATCGCCGCTTAAGGGCAGCATCGGCAGACGTGCAAGAGGCGATAGACATCAGCTTCAATAGGGCGCCGGAGGAAGCATGCATGCTCCCATCTATGGACGCCCTGGAAATACAAGGAGTGGTTGCGGGGTGCCAAGTCAGGAGAATGCTTGTGGACACGGGAAGTTCGATGGATGTGTTGTTCAAGGACACGGTGGTCCGCATGCAACTATCGCCAGAACTCATCAGGCCATTCGAGTCGGTGCTAGTTGGCTTTTCGGGGGCGCCCGCTAGGGTAATAGGGCGAGTGTGCCTGCCGGTTACCTTGGGAGATGGGGAGCAAAGGGTGACGCGGGCCATCGATTTTGGAATAGTGGACTGCCTGTCACCATACAACGCAATTCTGGGGAGACCTCTCCTGGCCTTGTTTAATGGTGTAGCCTCCACTTGCCATCAAACGTTGAAATTCATTGCGCCACAAGGTGTAGGTGTAGCTCGGGGGCGGGGCGCCCCGCGTTACGCGAAGGAAACGAGACGGAAGCGGAGGTGTTCCGAGGCGGTCAACGTGATGGAAACTGCGGCAGAAGAGGCGCCTCGGGCCGAGGCTGCCGACAAGGAACTTATGGTGGCATTAGACGAGGAGCGCCCGGAAAGGCAAGTGAGAATATCGGCAGAAGCGCCCGACGAAATGAAAGAGCGCATCGTCGCCCTTTTGAGGGAGTTCGCGGAGCTCTTCGCCTGGAGTGCATTAGAGATGCCGGGTGTTACCCCCGAAACGGCCGTGCATCGACTGGCGGTCGAAGAAGGTAAACGCCCCGTGCAGCAGAAACGGAGAAACTTATCGGCGGAAAAGGAGGCGGCGCTCAGGATCGAGGTGGACAAACTCATGGGCGCCAACTTGGTCGAGGAAACCTCCTATGTTACTTGGCTGTCGAACGTGGTTTTCATGCCGAAACCGTCAGGGGATTGGAGGATGTGTGTCGATTCCACAAGCCTCAACAGAGCGTGTCCAACGGACGCCTATCCAATGCCCCGAATAGACCAACTGGTAGATTCCACGGCGTATCATGAGATGCTGAGCTTTGTGGACATGTTCTCGGGGTACCACCAGATCCCGATGGCGGAAGAAGACCGGCCCAAAACAGCCTTCATGACGCTCTTCGGAAACTTTTGCTATCGGGTCATGGCGTTTGGGCTCAAAAATGCAGGCGCCACGTACCAGAGGATGGTCAACAATGTCTTCCGCCAGCAGATTGGTCGAAACGTGGAAGCCTACGTGGACAACTTGATTGTCAAAAGTCGAAGGCGCGAAGACCACCTTGAGGACTTGCGGGAGACGTTCCAAGCCATGCGGGCGCACAGGCTCCGCCTCAACCCACTTAAGTGCGTATTTGGCGCCGAGGCAGGCAAGTTCCTGGGATTCATGATAACTAAGCGGGGCATCGAGGCCAACCCGAAACAGGTGGACGCTATCCTCCAGCTGGCCCCGCCTAAGGCGCCCAAGGAAGTACAAGGCCTGGCAGTTAGGTTAGCAGCATTGAGACGCTTCATTCCCCGATCTGCAGACAAGGCCGCCCCTTTCTTTCGGACGCTCAAAAAGGCAGTACGTTTCCAATGGACCGCAGAGTGTGATGCAGCGTTCGAAGAGCTAAAGCAACTCCTAGCCGCCCCAACAGTGATGACGGCGCCCAAGGTGGGAGAAACATTGTACCTCTATATCGCTGTGTCAGAAGTTTTGGTAAGCACGGTGCTTGTTTCAAGAGAAGCCCACTCTGGAGAGGAAAGGCCGGTGTACTATGTCAGCCGCACCATGGTTGCTCACGAAAGGCGATATGCGCCCATAGAGAAGGTTGATTTGGCAGTTGTGATGGCGGCGACCAAACTAAGACCATACTTTCAGGCGCACACCATTGTGGTACTCACCAATTTGCCGTTGAAATCTACTTTGGGATCGATGGATGTGGCCGGGCGCCTCGTCAAGTGGGCGGTTCAGTTGAGCGAGTTTGACATTAGATATGCGCCCCGACCGGCGATAAAAGCACAAGTCTTGGCCGATTTCATTGCGGAGGGAGTAGCAGAATCGGAGAAGG